TGTTTCCTCCTTGGCTTCATCATTTGCATTTTATCAATCTTGTAAATCCAATATCACCTACTTTTTGGGGGGATGGTATAATATGACATGAATGTGTTCATGAACTAACCATGTATTATTGTTGGAACACCACTGAGTTCTTATGCATTTTTTTCTGAATAGAAAAGGTGTCAAAACTAGTAATAGAACATCTCCGCCCTTTTATCAAACCTGTTTCTGTTCTCTGACATTTTGCCACAATATGACATGAATGTGTTCATAAACTATCTATGTATAATTGTTGGAATAAAACACCGGTATGAAATAACTGAAAAACTCCTGACATTGATTTTCATTAAGAAATAGACCGCCTTCGTGGTGTAGTGGTTGGAGCGTCCGCCCGGAGAGCGGAAGGTCGCGGGTTCGATCCCCGACCGCGTCATACCAAAAAGACGTTAAAATATGGTACTTGTTGGTCCCTGTCTGGCGCTCGGCATTCATGGGTCCAACAAGGACTGGTCGGCTCGGAGTCAGTATAATGTGTCTGAGTGGGGTATTCATGCTTCACTGCGGCATGGTATCTCAGTTGGCTAGCACCTAGCACTATAAAACCAGCTTCAGTCTGGGCTAGTACAAGCAGCCGCACATACACATACACACGCATGCACGTCGTCATTTGAGCGAAATATTCTCAAGCACGACGTAAAACCCAATTTCACCTCACCTCATTAAGAAATAATCAGTGTTGCATATCTGACTGTCACCTTTCAGTGTAAAGTCGTATGTGTAAACTATGGGTTACATACACACTATACATTCATTTCAAAATGGTGTATCAGAACACAATACTACTTATGATACTGACTTTAATTAACTTATCATGTTTGTTTTACTTATGTCTGAAACCTAATACGGTTTCATGGATGTTTATATTCGAATCCGAGTTTGAAGAGAGTTTACATATTCTCTTCACCTTATTCCTCCACAGTGAAGATTTGTTAATATGCATCCTCCACAGTGAAGATTTGTTAATATGCATCCTCCACAGTGAAGATTTGTTAATATGCATCCTCCACAGTGAAGATTTGTTAATATGCATTAATATGAAAAACCATAAAAGCCTGTGTTTGCTTTTTCGAGCACTGTTTAAGTTTATACGACCGAATATAAGTTTTGATAAGAAAAGAAAACAGCTTTGCCACAATGCTATCAAGAAAGCAGATGGCCGTTTCATCCACAGTACACCACCACAAAGAACTTCAGCTCCTATGGGAAGAAAGACAATGGTCACCCAACAAAAGTCAAGATAAAGTATCAAACAAAAACTGCAATGGACTAAAAAGCTGTGAAAATCATATGAATTGGACTATTGAGAACAGCCATCCTCTCGATTTGCAGCCGAAATTTAATTATTTACAGCCCGACGCCACACAGATGTTCTCCTGCCATGCGACACGGCATGCAAACAAAACCAGACGATAAAGTGATCGATGAGCCAGAAGGCCCAGTAGTAAATTTGAGTTGCGGTTGCTGTGTATATATTCAGATATTTCTCAGACTAACAGGTGAAGAAAAACGCTGTGGCAATTAATCTGTCCCACACCACAGTCAGGGTCAGTTTCAATGTCTCAGACCAAACTTTCCAATTGTAGTTTCCTGAGGATAGATAAATACTACTGAGCTTATGATAAAACTCGGGGACCTCAATCCACCAGCAGAAATATCGACCCAGTAAATATAAGGCATCAGTGCAAAATAATACCCAGTTATCCTAAAAATAGATCCTTTCATCATCAACGCATAATGGGAAAAAGCAATGGTTTTGTGTGGGGCATGATAGATATGATATGATATGATATGATATGACATGACATGATATTCAAAATTCATTTAATAGGGTTGAGAAAATTATTTGGACAGGGGAATAAAGCTAAATGGAATGTCATGGTTTTGCATACATTAAGTCAGTGTTTGAGTCAGACTAATGTCCTTTTTAATACATAAAGAAGGAACTTCTTCAGAAGCCCACGTTGAATCGATCTGAGGAATCGAAAATATGAATAGTATCTGTATGCGCTGTAATCGAGAAGTAGTATGTTCAGATCTATACTGACAGCTTTTGTAATGTATATAACTATAATTGTATTGACAAAAATAATAACTAAAATAATTATTTTCATTCATCATTTGCAATATGAATATAGATAGTAGCGACAAAACCTTTTCCACATTTATAAGAAATATCTGCTAAAAGCAGAGTTTAAATGAGTGTTTACATATTTCATTAAATTGAACAGAAATATGCTTTTAATGTAAAAAAAACTGTGATCCCTAAGGAGTTACTTTTAGATAATTACATTGTAATTTCAACCTGGCTGCATTCAAGTGAGTCACGTTTTAAACAAATAAATAACGTTAATGCAAAAGAATACCCCATCTTGAATACCTCCAGAATATTTCCATTTGGTGTGAATGGAAAAAAATAGCTGCAAAAATTATGATTGGATCACTAAAAAACATTAATTGGTTATTTGTTAATCATTGCCATCTTCCAGGCAAATAAACTTACATTTATTGGTTCTTTCTCGGGTGGTCTTCCTGCTGCAGTAAAACCTAAACGGAAATTCAATCCTATCTGTATGCAATTGTCTTCGAACTACTCACGGTCAGTCTTACACTGCAGCAGATCTAGATATTGTCTGACATGGGTAATTACCTACATGACAATGCTCCCCTCTCAGACTACTGCAATTGCCAACCCTTATCTTTTTTTAAAATTGAATGAAAAGGGGGTTTGGTGAGGACAGATGATATCTTTTAGAAGCTGCTTGGCGTAAGGTTCTGTGATCAGTCACGAGGTCAAGACATAAACAGAGCCTCAGTTTGGTTTGTTGAGTTGACAGTTCCATACAGAGCATAATGACGCATTTGAAAAAAGACGACGAATTTAAATATTCATATCATTATATATTGTAAAATCATACTAAAATATATGTATATTTCCGTTTGTGAAATGCCAGTTGGGCTATCCGGCACAGCTGTTTTGTATTCTATTTGTGGAACATCCTTCATGCATTTGCTGTCAAGAAAAGCAGGCATCGAGATGCACTGACCACAGTCTAAAGAGTAAGTCTAACGTATGTTAAAAACCATGTGGACCTAAATATAGTTTGTTTGTGTTTTTTTATGTATATCTATTTCCCAAAGCATGTGTACATCGAGTCTGTCTCACAGTTCCTGAACCATATCATTATTTTCCGTACCGCCTTGCAATACTAAAGCCCTAAATGAAGCAAGTCTAGATTTTGCCACGTTCTGAATCTCTGGTCTCCTTGGGGCTCTTTTTCAATTTTATCTGGTTTATTTGTTACAATTATATATATTCAGAGACTAAGCGTTAGTCTAGTGTACACCATATAATCACCATTATACATTTCAAAGCTGATACACGGTACTGGTATTCATGAGCAACTCAAATGTTGAGTTTTAATATACACAGTACATATCATAATACAATGATCATGATACATGCAGATGTTGTAATGTGATACAAATATCCTAAGTAATTGAAATGTTGAGTTGTATTATACACAGTACATGTAACAATACAATGATCATGTACATTCAGAAACTGCTATGTGATACAAATATTCATATATACTTTGAAAGTTGAGTTTTAATATACATAGCTTTTAATTTCATAAATATATCTAAGTATAAAAAAACATTTGAGAAGAGTGTGTGGAAGACCTAAATATAGTTAGTCATGGTACCGGTTATACTCTTCGATACCTATTTAACAGCAAACGAGTTACTGTATTCTCGAATGGCGTACACATCAGAAATGTATTTCACATGAAGGTTTTGTTGTAGGAAAATGAAATTCGATAAACTAACAACATAACGGTATTTACTTGCATGCATGAATTATTTGACTGTAACGGTTGAAACATCTACACAGCTGTTGACTGCAACATTAAAATATAGTATAACCATAATCGTTCTTAGACAGTTAATGCATCCAATATGTGTTTACATATCGCATATAACCAGTTTCGTCAGATGTTTATATGACGAACTTACCAGTCTGTGTTCCTGAGATTTCCACTTCGGACATCAACAGATATATCCTTTTCGTTTGATTCTTCGTCTTCAGCTTCAAGGTCCCGTTCGAATGTTCGTAATCGGTGCGTAAGGGTGTAATGCCAATGACATGTGGAGCCTCACCTTAAGGATTGTGAAAGGATGATTTATCATAAAATGGTACCTAAGGGACCGTTCGTAATTTATGGCTTGGGGTTGTGGGGGTGGGGGTGGGTGGGGAGGAGAAAGATGATTTTAAGGGGGTCACCCATTTTGTTTTGGGGAGCTAAGGGTCATCAATTTTGTACACGCGTACTGGGGGTGGGGTGTTCCAGCAATTTTGTACATAAAAGAATGTTTAAAATTATGCTTAGAAATTATGGGAAGGAGAGGGGGGTCTTTGATTTTGTACATGACATACAGGGGGGTCACTTGTTTTGTACATAAATTTTAGGGGGGTCATTCACATTGTACATGCTTCTCCATAAAAATCATCATCACCCCCCTAGCCATAAATTATGAACGGTCCCTAACACCGATAATCGTGATTGATCAGAAAAGGGTTCCAAGCGGTAAGGACAGAGTTGGGATAACCAACCCCAACGCGAACACAATTAACCCTAAGGGTCGGAGAGGTAAGATCTGTGAAGCAATGTTTGCAGTGGGGCAAGTTACGGCTGCAGTGAGCTGCGCCCAGTAAACTGCATTATACCCAGTTGAAATCGTAGCGAAAGACATCGGCAATAGACACATGAGACACTCGGGTGTTTCCGTAATCGGCGGAAAAGCCAATTCCATTTGTTATCCTTTTATTTAGACTTATCATGAATTTTGATGAGTTTTAATCAGCTAAGGTTACTTTTACAGAGTTTATGCAGAAAGATGATGATTACGTTCACATGCTTCTTTAATTAATCATTGCCAACATTGTTTTGGCACGTGACCAAAGCTGCACATATGCCTTACATTTTCCACCTGATTACAGCGCTCGCAAACAGACTTGGGGTGTGGACTGCTACAGGCGTTCTTGGTCAACGGTGCTCATCCAGTGATTGTCGCATTGATGATGGGAATGTTTCTGAACCTGGCGTGTTGTCTGCTTCTTACAGCTACCATAGCTGAAGGTATGACCAGTTTGATTGTCCGGTGCTTAAATATTTTTATCAACATGCAAAATTGCATGTGTACAGCGAAACCCCTTTAGGCCGGAAACCTCGGCTTCCCGGCGATAAATGAGCTGGCTGACACGTACCTATCAGACTACTAGTTATCCATTATTATCAACGATTTGTTAATTCAAGTGAGCATTACTGTGCCCAATCACGATGATGTCTGTTTACGTGAGTGATTAATGTGTACATAAGGTGCACGCTAGTCTTTTGTCTGGAATGTAATGGGTCATCATATCCTTCATGCTTGAATACCCAGTGCTCAGGTTGGTGTAAGGTGACCTTGACCAGGGAACACATATTTCCCGACTGTCTAGACGTTGCAGACAACAACACTGTATTATATTGTCATTGCTGGAGTCAGCTGCAGTGATGTGTCTGAGCAGCAGGCCAGTTGCATTTATCAGTAACTTAACTGCAAAGGGATGCGCTGGCAGAGATAGAAAACCTGCTTTCCTGGAGGAATTTATATTCAGTTTCGATTACTTGTAACTCACACAGTTGACAGCATTATCCTTTTTAAAGGTAGTCGTTCCGAGTTCGAATTCTCTTGATCTTGGTCGTGATGTAATTCCTGTGGTACGTTGTTAGTCTCCTGGATTCGTATGCAGTATTTTATTATTCTTGTTCATGACACATTAGATTCATTTTGGAACAACATGCCATATCTCTAACGTTTTGCGAAAGAAACAAAGATTATATCGATCACTGGAGGCGAAAGGTGTTGGTAAATGACAGTTTTTCATCACTGAAATTTACTCAAACCGGTATCCCACAGGGTTCAGTATGTATGTATGTATGTATGTGTGTGTGTGTGTGTGTGTGTGTGTGTGTGTGTGTGTGTATGTATGTATGTATGTATGCATGCATGTAAGTGTGTGGGAGTGTGCATGCCTGCGAGTGCGTATATGAATGTGAAATGTTCTTACATGTGTGCATATGTAAATGCATACGTGTATATTGGTGTAATTATATGTGCAAATTTGCATTTGGGATTATGTACTTGCGTATTTATATTTGTATTTCATTAAATACGATGATACATGCATTTTTGTTATTCTGACAAACGTTTTTAAAAGTATTTATGTTTTTCAGGTAAATATATTTCTGTTTGCTTTTTAAAAGATCCATCTATCCATCGTTTGCCGAATCCCTTTAACCGTGTTAATAAATTATCTCATTATATACAATTGCAAACAAAACAAAATTCACTTGTTATCAAATTATTCCGAATACAAATGACTCACGTTGTTCCGTTTTGATGATCCATATGTTATACAGTGATATCAGACCAAGAAGGTGCTGTTTCCTGTTTATAGATTAATGACATATCTCCCCTCGTTACCATTTCATTCTTTAACTAAAATATTTGATTCAAAAGTTTCTCCAATCCTCTTATACGGCTCAGAGATATGTTGAAAAGTATATTCTTGAATTGTTTCCCGAAAAAGACCTGTTGAGGGTATATTGTAAGTTTCGCTGTGCATCTCATAAATTGAAAGTTCAGTTAGATAGATTTAAATGTTATGATAACCCAAATGCTTTACTATGTACCAAATGTCTCCTGGGCTGTACTGAAGACGAATTTCACTTTTTATTTATTTGCCCTTACTATCAGATAAGCAGACAACAATCTTTACCTGAATATTATTATAAGAATCCGTCTACTTAAAAGATGTATCAGCTGCTAGCATCCACTGACACAAAACTTATCAAATCTTTGTCGTTGTATTTGAAAAGAAACTTGCCAATTTGATAATATTTGTGAATGAATAATATACCGGTATGTGCACTGTGTGCAGTTATTATGTATTAGTAATGTGGGTCACGTCGCCCCAAATACTAATAAACTTGTCACTTGTCAAAGTGATATCTGCATATATAGGGTACGTGTTCCTAAGCTCTATACACCGATATTTCATAGTTTAGATACAGTTTACAGCACTTCTCAACATCCACACTCACCAAGTGCTGTAACATGAGAAACATGTCTTGACTGATAAAACAAATTTTCTGACTTTATGTTCGAACTGTTCAATAATTTCTTTATTCCGAAGTCCCAACACAACAAAACTGCATTGAATCTGTACATCTTAAACAATATGTTAGACTGACTTATGTTGAGTACGTTGGTTGCCTTTAATGCTCAACTGTTTTGACAGTTGAATTCCATGATAGTCGGGGCGAGAATGCAACATATAAATAGCTGAAATAGTTCAAATCCTTCATGGCAGTTTGGCCGTATTTGTATTTCCTGTTTTTATCAATGTTTCTATTAGTGAAAACAGTAGTATTTCCGTCTTGCCTTAGTTCATATCTTCTCCCCCATGGAGAACAGAGTGTACTCAGATATATCTTTCATAGCTGGATCTTAACACGGAAATGTCTTCGTGTCACATGTACAAGACCCAAAGAAATTATCTTCACAGTGTGATGGGAAAGAACAAGTTAGATTTCTCGCCTGTTAGGTACAACACCCTTACGGACAAAAGCTAATCTAGGACGCGCCATCCCTTAAATATGTCACTGATAAGACAGTCAGCAAGGATTCTCCACGCGCCGTAGGACGAACGTGAGCAACAGTCTAAAACCTGTTTATGTACATATGTCAGTGCGTGACCATTTGTGCCAAAGCCCATAAACATTCTTGCTACGAACAGAAACATGTTTATTATGAAAAGCATTTTTCAAAAAGCTTCAGCAACATTTTCACAATTTTGTGTTATAGACAACGTGGTTATGTGGAAGTTGTAATTCTAATTGAAAATGATGTTTTGCATTTCGCTACACGAAATATTTTCATATTGTTTTGAAATAACCCTTAAAACCTTTCACAAATGTTTTAACAACTCACTCAAACATTGCACTTGGAAGTTGCACAAGTCGAGTGTGTTGGATTGGTTGCTCCGTGTATTTTGAGGTATATACTGAAATTACATAGCCCCAAACAAACTGAAGGAACCTGTATACAAAAATATAGTAAATAGTTTATTTTTACTTATTAGCAACTTGCATTAATTATAAAGGAATTTGCAGCTTGACGGGATGACGCGCTGAGACAATACATTTGGCACGCTGTTTGTGTACATACATTCACATATCGTATACATGTAACGTTGTCTGTAAAGTGACCTCATGTCTATGGTGTTCAGTTCATGGTCTTGCATACTAGAAGCCCTTGTATGTATGTATATCCACATTGAAAGCCTTTCTGAATATTTTAACACCACATGGGGGATGAATGTACATTTTTAGGAGTTCATATCAACACAAAACACACCACAACGTACATTATACACGTAATTTGTGCATAAAAAAATATCAATATTTCATGATCCCAAGTTTGTCTAAACCGAGCACCAACGAAAGCGTGTTTTAAATGGTGACTGCGTGACTGTTTTCCCTGTCCAAGTCAGTGATGTTTGGGCTTCGGTAAATCTCAGCCATTTGCAGCGACTAGAATGAAAGCCCGTTTGGTGACGAATTATAACCCTCAAATCAAGCAAGATATTTCCACGCTCCTCGTTGTGCTCCAACACGCCATGTCTGTAATTTTGTGAATCCACCTTCGCCTTGTTTGAATTATCGAGTTGATACAGGTCCAGGTGTCCTTGTGCTAACACATCATGTGGAAATTCCTGAAAGTATCATTGTGTGAAAAATATATAAACTAATCTGTAAAACCTATTTTTTTATTATCATCCAAGTAAAAGTATTTTTGAGGTGGAAATGTTCAGATTTTGAGGGGATATTTAAAGTGCGGTTTGATTACAGGCCGCCGTCGCATTACTGGAGTAGCTCGATGTAGGGCCAGGCAACATTTACCCTCATTGGATTAGCTTACAAAGTTTAGACGATTGATATACAATGTATGTTTATTATAATATATATGTCGACTATGGGATCCAGTTATCATTCTCGTGGGATTCATACATTTATAACAATGGTTTACACCAAGACCCCAATAAAAGAAATCTTAAAGTAAGTTTGTATGTGGAATTACATGTTCTGAATTCTTTGAGGACGTTTTAACTATGTACATACATACATGCAATTTCTGAAAAGACGTACAGGTACGATGTATGTATATTAGCATTCGTCACTTTGTTGGGCCTCTTCTGCAGCACAGTCATGCGGGGAGAACCTAGTGGCCAGCTCTACCAGCAAGAATGCTACATCGCCAGGATACCCTGCCAGCTACCCCAGGTAGGTAATCAATGAATAAGTTCCTGCAATAAAGTTCTGCAGCCAATGGATTGACGTGCTGTTGTGCCGCAATACCTTACATGCACTTCCGTATCGTAAAATTACTGTCCTGCTGAGAGGGTACGTAGGTCCCCAAACTTTCAAGGTAAATTTAGATTTTTAAGCGTAGTATTTTTGTTATTATAAAATTCGGCTAAATTTTCGTAGAATCGCCAGCGGCTGAGGGGATTGTGTCAATCCAGCTCGAGTCCATGCAGGAAGCAGATGTACTGTAAGTCCCCATGGTCCCTAGTATGGTGATCTACCTTCAGTTGTTGGCGATCAATAGCGTGTTTTATATTGTATCGTCCTCTATAGTGAAAGGTCACATGCAACCAAAAAATCAAACATAATTAAAACACAATTATCACTTATTCATGACATATAATATACATTGCTGGTTATGAAAAAACATATAAACAAAGTTATAAGCGTACAATCGCAAATGAAAAGTGCAATATTGTGTACTTGGGTTTACTTCCCAAGAAACGAAGCAGCCGGGATACCGAACCCAGTCAGAGCGGGTGGGTGTGCACTCAAGTGTAACGGCTGGTTCATTTGCAGATGACCTAACGGCTCATTGTGTGTGTATACATAGAGATGTTGGGTTTTGTAAATACATGCTCACTTTTTGTGTATAACATTTTGCAAACAGACATCATAACATGTCATGTGTTTAAGTATCACACCTGCCTGTCTGTGTAATTACATAATGTGACAGAGACCGAACTCGGGCCATAAATCAATGCATTTTGTATATGGTGTATATCCTGATTGGGGTTAAGTTCAAATTGCAAATAGCAGCTGTGTATTGAATATTGGCTTTAGCAGACAGGCAGGCAGACACACAGGTGTCAATAAAACAAGACACTGAGTTTTGTCTGTGACAACGACATATCTATATCACAGTTAGAAATTCTGTCAACACTAAATAATGACATTGCTTTTAAGTATCGAACTGAGAAAGTGACTCGGTAAGAAGAACGTGTGGTGAAATAGACAAATGAAATTATATAAACAGTTAATTTACTGTCATAACATATAAAAAAGCTCGCGCCTGTGAGATATCAACAAAACATTAGAAAAATAGCTCACACCAAAGCCTTCACCGAGTATTCACCTGACAACCCGTTTGAACTCCGATTTCGCGCGTTTTTTTTCATCGCGTTATTTTTCAACTTTATAAGTTGAATTTGTATTATTGACGATTTGTTTCGGTAAGTCCATACCGAAAGGAATCAGAATCTGCAAAGTTGTGTTTTACGTTGCATGTGACCTTTAAAGTATTTTAGATTTAATTACAAGTATATTTAAACATATTTCTTTGATATTCTAGTTGGTTTTACGGTCCTTTGTCGAGAAATATTTTAAAATGATTACCTTGTTTTACCTAACTTTTACCTCACTCACTCACTTGCACTTCCATGTCGTCTGTTAGTTCAGCAGCTCACCTAGCTCTAATTTCCAATCCACAGCAGTATTCACAGATCACACGTCAGGGCATGAACACGTTTGGTGATGCACCCAACCAAAGATCATATTCTACATCCCTACACTATTCCTTATTCACCTCCAAGATATATTGATATCAGTTATTGGTTGACTGTGTTTCAGTACAACTAATTGTGTCTGGACTATTTCGGCTGCTAACCAAGAAAGTAAAGTCAGAGTAACGTTTCTGGAAGTAGAGATCCCTGACGGCTATGACGTGGTGAAAGTATATGATGGTATGTATCGTTATTTGATTAATAATACGTTGTTGTTAAATCTCAGATATGTACACGAATCTACATAAACCTCTCACTCTCTGTGTATGTGAATGTGTATATGCTGGATTACTGCGTCAACTGTTCGCTTGGTACTGAAGAGCGCGTCCGTGACAGGTGATCCAATATTATATTGGTTTTCGGCATTGCTACTTCAATATTGTTTTATCATGTATTTTTAAACATAATTTCTTATTCAGCTCAATCGAACAAGCACTCTATATGTAAATAGAGTTTACTAGCCTAGTTAGTCGGTGCGTGTGAAGCCAAAGGCCTCACGATCATTATTGCAAGACTGTCTAAATTTTGTTGAGCTGTTATATCAAAACGTCAATGCAAAACAAGCCTCAGTTGTCAGCCGAAAGGGGCGGTGGGGTAGCCTAGTGGTTAAAGCGTTCGCCCGTCACGCCGAAGATCACAGTGATGATATCATACAGTTATTGTACCAGGCTAGAAGTGTTTTGTTTGGTGTTTAACGCCTCGCGCACAATATGACGGTGGGCTTTTTAAGTTATCGATTCTGGATCAGAAACTCCAGTACTGACGCCATGAACATGGATGTACGTATTTAGCTATAGGGTGAGGTGATCTGCATCAGCGTTGTCAGCCAGCGTGACACCTGATACCGTACCTGGGCGCTAACGACAAGGATGAGTTGTTGAAGATCAATTCAAATCCAGATTCAGTACAGATGAATAAACATATAGGATGTTGGATCCATGGTAGGAAATACGTACTGTGGAAATTGTTTACAATGGGTAACAATTCTGACAAAAACATACAATGCTGATGGTGACCTTGTTACGCTAGGTAACTCAACAAGCGGCTACTTAATGGGACAAGTCTCTGGAACGGACAAGCCCACCTTCACTGGCCAAGAGACGTCTCTTACCATGGAATTGACAGCTACCGCAAACGCGACTAGGCCTAGTACAAAAGTTGGATTTGTGTTTGGATACGCTGAAACACAGGGTAAATCGTCAAATATATCTTCAGATATGAAATGATACGAGGGTCGATCAAAAAGTACGTAGCCTAACTATATTTCCGATGTCCAATGTTTGAAAAGCTTCCATTTTATTTTGGAGGAATAGTTAGCAAAGCCATATCCAAAATTTCACATGTGTGGGTAATGTGGTTAACCAGATATTTGTCATCACAACACATTGGGGTATAATATTTCTAACAAAATTGCAGAAAATGAAAAATGATTTGTCTTTTAGTACCTCTTGGAGAATGGTATACCCTCAGACAATGTCATATAAAATATGTTCAGTATAGTATTGGATGCCTTCCCGTCATGATCAACAGTCCACGATTTGGATTGCCTGACTTATATTTAGTCCGGGGCTATGTTTTAAGGACACCCCCATTTTAATCTTTCAAAAACATTGTGTCCAGATATTCAAGCTGACACTGTTTACACTGAGCTGACACTTGTGTGATCATTCAGTATTTAGTTTGAACCCTTGGCATCATGTATGCATAAGTGAAAACATTAGAATAAGCTATGCCCTTAGGATTACGTCATCTGAAAGGGGGATGGGTAGTGTCTCCAAAACACGATCTTTCAGTCAACATGGGGCGTCACTTTAACAAACGATTGTAATTTCAAATTGCTTGTTTATCTAAGTGTGATTCTTCTATCAATCTCAAATACACAAAATATTTCTTGCATAATTTGTTTCCTGAAGTTTTTGATGCATTAATTGTAGAATTTGCGTTTTTTGTGGGTACCAAGATATGAGGTCAAACAAATTGGCGATCGTGAGACTGGAACATAGCAAAACCAAATTGCTTGAGCTTGACAGATAATATGTAGAAAAATAAAACATAAAAATAACTGCATTTGTATCGTTTTCTTGGTGATTCTTCATATTTTTGATCGCCCCTCGTATTCGAGATGAAAGATATGATTATCAACCTTAATGTTTGACAAAAAGCCCGATCGACATTTAGTACCAACACTACAATGTTTATTGTAAAGCGTTTGTTAATTTGAGGATGCTTTCTACCGATACATAATTTCATTGCTATTAAGTAACACATACTCCATCAATTAATTAATAGCAGTGAAATTATGCTGGGTCAAGTCAAGTATTATTTACTCGAACTAAATGTGTGTTATCGTGAGAATCTACATGTTCCATCATGAAGTGACGCCGAAATTCAGGGGTAAAACAAATTCATGCATCAAGATTCATTAAGCCAGTATAACCAATAATAATTCATATATGCTTCAGTGGTATCTAAGTGGTGATTATCATGGAGATGAAATAAACAGATACATACATATTCCTTTCAATGCAGACACGCTGCCCATGCAACGTTCAGTTGACGCCCAGTCGGATAAAGCCGTGCTGATGTCACCCAGGTTCCCGTCGGGCAGAGTGAAGTAAGGAGTCTTTCGTGACGAACTTATAATATGCTGGGACAAGCCGAATAGCGACTCGTGTCATGGCCATTTTGGAGACTTGGTACCATCTATTCAAACGGCTAGAGTTAGATGAATTGTTAACTCTTGGGACTACTTCCATCATATATTTACAGAGGATATTTATAACATATCTAGGATATATTTTTAGATACAAAGCGTAAGTGGGTACCCGGTGGGATGCCATGTGCCTAATAACCTAGCGCTGCACTGGCAGGTTGGGTTATCCGGGGTAATAATAGTCAGATTGTTAGGGCTATGAGCATCCACCTAGTGAATGTAGTTTAACGCTTTTTAAATGCATTTAATATCATAATTATTATCATTAAGTAAAATGCAAAAAGGAGTGAATAAAACCCAACACAAAAACAAGGATTCTTCGACCTAAGTACTCCAAGTTCTTCGCACATTCTGAATGGTTTGTCGTATTTCTGCACATAACGTTCATCGATAGTGGTATGCGGCCATTTGCAGGGTAAGCAAGGCGCAGCTGGTAACGATTGGTAAGGAACATTACTTGCGTAGGTCAAACATTCAAAGAATATATTTCACTTCATGGGGTATGCGTCGAATGATAATTTAAGGAAGGATAACAGTGAGTGAGTGAGTATAGTTTTATGCCGCTTTTAGCAATATCAGTGTGAAATCACGACGGGAGATACCAGAAATGAACTTCACACAAAATACCCATGAGGGGTCTTCATCGTGACGAGGTTACCGATCAACCATTATTATAGATGAACCAAACTATTTTATCCCCCGCAACACGTTTTGAGGGGGGTATTAAAATGGACTCCGTCCGTGCGCCCGTGCGCCCGTGCGCCCGTGCACATATGTCTTTTCCGGAGCAGAACTTTAAAACCGTTCAATATTTCTTCACCAAACTTGGCACATGGATAGATCTGGTGGTGTACTGGTGCATTTTGGTAGTTTTCGAATTCTGAATTAAATATTTTCGGCGTTTCCATGGCAACAAGTTTGACTTAGACTGAAATTGGTGGTAGTGCTCTTTCCGGAGCCGAACTCTAAAACCGTTCAATGTTTCTTCACTCAACGTGGTACATATATAGGCCTGGTGGTGTGCTGGTGCCTTTTGGTATTTTTGGAATTCTGATTAAAATATTTTTTGTGTTTCCATGGCAACACATTTGGCTTCGACTGAATTTGGTGGTAGTGCTCCTTCCTGGAGCAGAACTTTAAAACCTTTCACTACTCTCCTTCCACTTTGACATATACACACCAAAACATTTGACATAATCATAACTAGTAGACATATTCATAGAGTATTTTGCCATTGCGGGGGATATTGATGACTTCGTCTTCTTGATGAAATTTAATTTGCATGTGTATGCTCATAAAATTACATGGTAGGAGTTGTTTTAGATTTATACAATGTCAACATGGCGGCCATATTTTTAAGAGACATGAATGCCATCTGGTCAGTACGTCCCAAACTTTTCAACAAGCAAGTGCTGTTATCATTCGTTGAGGTTGACCTTGGCGACAACTGTAACAACAACTTCATCAAAGTGTACCAAGGTAGGTGTGACAGTGAAAGAAATAAATCTTCAGAATCACAAAACACACGATAATAGATATACACGCTGCACTGAACGTATACCTTCTACTAGGGTTTGTTAGACTCAGTTTGACAGTGTAACGAATAATACTGAGCCTACGTTTACTTAGACTGCGTATACTGAGGGCGGTAAAATCAGTATCATTATCAGCTACGGTTAACAAATAGACAGATACCGCCAGTATTACAGATTCCAAATGTGGCGTCAGGGATGCTTTCTTGTGGCGATCCAGTGGACAGGCTCAAATTCTCCAAGTGAGTGAGTGAGTTTTTATGCCGCTTTTAGCAATATTCCAGCAATATCACGGCGGGGGACCTAAGAACAAATTCTCCAAGTGATGAGTGCAGGAACAAAGTAATGGCATAAACATTCGTCTATTAAATATCCCTGATACTGATTTGATTATGCGATAGAAAGACGGCCCGATGGATGAGTGAGTGAGTGAATATGGTTTCATGCTGCTTTTAGAAATATTCCAGCGATATCACAGCGGGGGTCACCAGAAATGGGCTTCACATAATGTACCCATTTGGGGAATCGAACCCGGGTCTTCAGCGTGACGAGCGAACGCTTTAACCACTTGGCTACCCCACCGCCCGTCTTAGCCGTGAGTTTACTGTGTACATGTGAGGTATATTTCCTATATCACCAGTTGACAGGGTAATATGCTTAACACTCATAAATACATTTATGTCACAGGAAATACATCAGCGGTTGAGGTTTCAAAGCTCTGTGGTAAACAAACAGATACATTCTTCAGCAAGCACTCGGAACTCTCTGTGGTTTTCAGGACAGACAGCAATCTAGCCAGACGAGGCTTTAAAGCTGACTATACAATGGTTGGATTTTCTTATTTTCGTAAGTGTGAAACAACTGTCGAAAGATATTACCAAAGAAAGTTCAAATTTTCCAGTTCAAGGAAATAAAGATTCTTAAGGAGAGGACACTTTAGTAGAGGGGGATCTGGGAGAGGTTGTAGGTGGCGTGTGGAGTTTTGATAACCAGGAATCGTATTTAGGATAATGGCAAATGTGTGGCAAATTCTAAATATGAAAACTATATGAACACGGCCACAAACGTCTGTAAATCGCAATGTTTCTGTGGGTATTCCTATAGTTATGCAACAAGAGGGATAACGGGAGTCATGAAGGCATGCCTTCTGATCCGTATGTTTTTGGCAAATGGATATGACTTTGAACCGTCTGGGCATGTGCTCATGCACTAGGTGCGTGATGCAACCGATTCCATGACAGTCTGCAATCGATTTCTCAATGCAGTCGGTCTGACTCATATATCGTGGGCTGGAACCGTTGTCCGGCAAAGTAGAATCGTCAACGTTTTGTGTTTGTTGGTATTGGGCCCAAGACTAAGAAAAACGCAGCGTTTGTCAACATTATTCTGACGTAAACGTTTAGCACGTTGCAAATATCGCGTGAAAATGTTCTTGCTCACACACTTACTTACTTTCATTGCCAGACATTGGTGTGTATTCCGGTCGTTCCTCTTCAAAACACAATATTCTCACATTCTAATTCTAATCCTCATTTGACAAGCAGATTGTATTCTTACAAGATTTCCTTGGATATACTGTACCATGATTAGATGTCAATTGTACCAACACATGATTTCTTGTATCACCCACGGACTACTTGTGTTGATTACAGCTGGCTGTTACGGTTCCCCGAACGAAGTGCGCGTTTTTGAAAACGTCAATGGGGAGCTTGAATCGCCATTATACCCCAACAAATACCCAAAGTAAGCAATGCTGGTTTATAGGATGAATTGTCTGGTCTACTGGTTTGATGTTTTTCCAAGTGCGAGTTATTAGACTTTATGGATTTAATGAAACGTATTTCACCTGCACGTAAGACACATGTCAAACAACAGTTGTTCAAAACTGTGATCGACTGTGTTCGTTTTACTATTGCAAGACAATTATATTTCTTACTTTTTTTAGGACGTTCTTGGTCCACATGCATAGGCTCATAAGGTAAATTTGGGAACATTTGAATGTCCAAACCTAGCAATGGAAACGTTTACAGACTAGTATGTTCTGGATATTAAGTGGTATGCTTTCTCCGTCAGCTCGATGAAATGTAGAACCCTACTGAAGGCTGTCCTCACAGACATCTACATTAAGGTGGAGGTGACCGACATAAACATGCCCCAATCCGAGGGCTGCACGAAAGACTATGTGGAGATCTTTGACGGTGAGGACACCATGCCAGTTTACACTTCCTAGCCATCACTATTTTTTTATACTATGAAAAACTAATCTGGTTTACATTTGGAAGCTTGCATACGTTGGAGATTGTGTGACTGGACCAGTTTTATTTGACTGGGGTTGTATGTGTGGATCACTACCCCACAAGATTGCCCGAATTTCGCCAAACTGCTCCAAATGCTGAACCATATGATGCACAATTGTCGTTGGTGCTAAACACAGTATGTCATATAGAATGGATAACATTTTGTAAAATAACGTGTCTTTGAAAATGATTTCAAAATCTTAATGAATCAGCTGAATTGGGTTCACGTGTCTTCAATAACAAATACAAGTAACTGTCTTATGTTTGAACACACAATATATTTCCAATACGAGGATAGCCATTTATGATAAATACCCAGAAGATGCCTACATAGTGAAAGGCCCAGATATAGAATGTACAATGAGACTGAAATCTCACATAATCTCTGAATAATGTTAGGGGTTCGCTTAAACATCTTTCCCAGTATCATATTGATATAAATACAAGTATCACTATGATTCAGGTACAACGTCTACTTCACCAAACCTGGGTCGAGTCTGCGGTCAAACTAAGTTAACAGTCACCTCCAAAACTGCTGGCCAAGACGTGATGGTTACGTTTGTCTCAGATTCGAATGAAGGGGGCAAAGGTTACAAGATCAAATACGTAGGCGTGAAAATGAATGGTCAAGGTATGTGTACCTAGGTATTTCGCAGATGTGTTATGGCTTATGCTATCCCTTAAACTACACATAATTGCAGTAATGGGATGTCTCCCTGTGTTCTGTATTCTGTATGTTAAACAATCCTCAATGTGAGACCTCTACCATGTTATTGTGCATTTTCAGCCACCAAATCGTCCCCAGTTGGTCTTATTGTTGGCATCATCGTCGGCTGCATTGGTTTCTATTGGTAGTCCTTATTGTCGTCCTGAGGAGAAAGTGTCTGAGGAAATGATCACTGGAATAACGTCAACTTCACAGTCGTCATGGAAAACCAAGGCTTTTTGGAACTTCTCCCAAACCAAATTAACCAAAGACGTAAACTATGTCTTGAAGCAATATATATAATTTATAGTGACCATGTGTTTAAGTCAAGCGGTGGGATAAAATAATATCAAGTGCCAGTTTGGGTTAGAGATAAGTTATCTCAAGTTATGCCCTGAAACAAATGTAAAAACAAATAATTGAATCATTTCAAATTAAATTTGACAAAAAGATGAACGAATCTGTTTCTATATGCATATGAATCACAATTTCTAGTCGGGTTGGCAAAACATATTATTTTGGCCAATAAGTTTTAATTTAACTTTTAGGTGAAAAGAATGATCTGTATCAAATTGCTAATATCCTTCCAATACTGTACCCATCTGAACTTGGAAAACAGGAAATAGGTGAGACCGTCTAATGTGTAGATTCATAGATTCAAGAGATGACTTTTCAATATTATTAGTCAACTTCATCGTCATGTAGAGCAATATTCCAACAGCTCTAGTGTTTACATCTCACAATATCTGAGGTACAATCGAGCATACTCCTTTTTGCCAAGAGTTCAAAGATCAAGGCTACAATATTCAAGGCCTCAGTAAAGCTTCCAAGAATGTTTCATAGTAGACAGTGGAGGACATTTTAAAAGTCGATGCATCACTGACAAAAATAATGTCAGATGCAGGTCCCTATTTTAACTTACTCCATACATGCCCGATGTTTTTCAGGTGAACATTTGTTTAGTCTTTGCGTATGTTTATGACGATAGGGCAACATACTCTGGAAGTTTTGCGATCACCTGATATTATTACTATTGGAGAGAGATTTATAACAAACTAAAACGCAATGCAGACCTATTTACAGTTCTTAATGATATAGCCGTAATATTGCTTGTTGATTGTACAATCGACTCTGCTTTTAACAAATCTCAATTGCGTTTTAGTTTGTTTGTTAGCTTTATTGTTCAGCGCCGCACTCAGCAATATTCCAGCTCTATGGCAGACCTTTTATATATATGCGTTGGTGAAAGAATGAGTTTGGTTTTACCAACTGTTACCAGTATTCCAGCATCATTACGGCGTGGAACACCCGAAATGGTCAGCTTCAGGTTTTAGTTACAATCATATTCAACGTGATTAAAGTTTCATTTGTATTGTTTCATTGCATAAATATGGGCTGGATATATAAAGAATATATAATAACACTTTCTTTTGGTTTGGGTTCTATTTTGGGAATTCCAAGGTGTTGGTGAGACTAAATGGATATCAAATTAAATTTGCGTAGAGTTAAAGATTGTCACACTCACACAGATATGGTATTCTTGTTACTCAAAACTAGAATGATAGTCAGTGTAAAAGAGTCCCCTTTTGTCATCAATAGAAAAAAATGTATGGTTACTTTATGAAAGATTCGGGAAGTGGAAATTATGCATAGATTATTATGAAGAACAGGCATCAATATGACAATATTTTCAGTGTCCTTACTTATGACAATCCAAATGATGGTTTGAAAACAACATTGCAGTTTTCTGAAAATATTTATCAAATGATATAATTTACATTCCATTAACTCCGATTTTGTAAATATTTACTGTTTCACTCATGTTCTCACTTTTGTAATCAAAGGAGGATGCCCCATAATGCTGAAAATATTAATTTATTGATTCATTACGTTCGAACGATGATCACTTTTGATGGCAAGGTAGCTGCAGTGGTCTACAGAAGAGTATGATACAAGGTCAGTTGAACTTGATGATATGTGCATTCGAAGATATGGAAACGTTAACTGATCCTCCTAGCCTGTGTCCTCGCAATTGTTTCACCATTCATATAACCAAAGTTGTAAAATGTGACGCTATGTGTGTTTATGAACATTTGAAAGTAGTATATACATGTGCATAACCTTTCATGTTTATTGTTATATGACTCCAACATTTAATTAAAGGTTTCATCCTTTTGCTTTATCCTATTTATGCTTTAACGATATTATTCTCACATACAAATCATTTCCTCAAATCCTTCATCTCAGATTCTCAACGAGAAGATGATGATTTGTTTTCCTGATCTTAAGTCCTTTTTACAAGTTCTATTTTTGCAAATCATGAATGTAGACATTTCAAAATACTGTATCGTAATATGATAATATATTTCAAAGAATACTTCACGTTTGGAATCAATGTTAAATATGTTTCAGTTAAGAAATATTTTACAAACATTTTAATCATAACATGTAAAAGTTTATCTAAATTTGTAAAAAATACCAGTAATATATTTGTGAAATTGGAAAGTAAATTTTCTGCGACAGTAATTCTACTTTCAACAAAAGGTATGTTTTTTTAAAATCCTTCGCAACCACAGAGAAGATTAGGAGTGCACGTTACTAGGTTATTGAAAAGGTTTAAAATACGATCAAACGGCGGATTTGTTTTCATAATAGATATGTAAGTGTAAACAAAGTATTTCTCACCGCCTCATTCCAATTTGCTTAGTATTTGTCAGTTTTCTGTAAAAAACTCCAAAGTATACAGTAACAGCGATTGTTGACTGGGATGTGGCTATATGTGTGTCGAATAATTGCCTATTCACACCGTGTCTTTTTAGAGTTCAGTGAGTATCTATTTGAATATAAGCTGTCTCATTATGACTGGACATATACCTATTATCATTATGATATGCTTTCTGTATTTGTATCATATCCATTCTTGTCGTGCGTTCAGTGCTCCAGTCATATAATCCTCACCACCTGTTGCCTTCACACCTATTTGTCATGTCATATATTGTATTACCGGGGCATGCATGCAGTACTGATTTACATATTTCCCATATCAATGTATAATGCTTGTAACTCCATGACCCGTTACTCTGTATAAACTGACTTTTAGTCTTATTAATGAAAATGTTTGTAGTTTCTTAATATTTGGTCAGTAAACACTACACGTATATACATATATGTCTTGTGTTTTGAGGAAGTGAGTGAATTTAATTTTACGCCGCACCCAGCAATATTCCAGCTATATGGCGGCGATCTGTAAATAATCGAGTCTGGACCAGACAATCCAGGGATCAACAGCATGAGCATCGATCTGCGCAATTGGGAACCGATTACATGTGTCAACCAAATCAGCGAGCCTTTTCACCCGATCCCGTTAATCGCCTCTTACGACAAAGCATGGGTTACTGAAGAACAATATTCTAACCCAGACCATCACGGGTATTTTGTGTTTTGTGTACTATCGCACTAAGCGAGCATTATTTCCTAAGCCAAAGAGTTCTAGATGATATCATTGTTGATTGCTTAATGAGTAACCGATATACCTTGCTATCCTTCAGGACCCAGCGGTCATATGCATATATGTTTATTTTTGTAAATTATATGTAAATATGTCCATTCAACTTTGTAATACCAGAGGGTGGTACTGGGATTTTTCAAAGGGACCCAGTGCGATCCGTAAGTGAACTATCGTAGGGGTGTACAATAAACCAGAGTGCTAGACTGGAAAAGTTGCACTTGGAAGAAGTCTGAATCATTTTACTGGGCTACCGAAACGTGCGTGCTGAAAATGGTTTTATTTAGAAATAGGTTTGGATCAAGGATCAATGGAACGAAAGCACTGTCTTTTACGTAATCTTTCACAACACAGTCCCATCATACTTTGAAAGATATGTTGCACATTTTGGTTGGATTAGAAATTCGGAAAATATTCGTACGAGAATAGAACCGTGACCTGCTTCCTTTTCCACATCATCAATCAAGCTGTGGAATGATATACTGTCAGATGTGAAAACTTGTAATTAAAAAACCCAAACACATCAAAACATTTCTAAACGCCCAGAAAACAAAATCACCCCAAGACGCCATCGTACTTCTGCTTTGTACATCGGGATCGGTTGAGCAGGGTCACTGACTTGATTCATGTATGTCATCGTTCCCCAGTTGCGACTATGGGATAAGAACCGTGCGACGGGTGGAGTAACAATAACAACACGGCGTGGTCACAATACTTAATAAACATTAATCTGTTAAGCTGCGCATGTTTCGCTCAAACCTTCACGCCTGAAAGAAAATCTGTCTCACACTCCCTGAACAACACCTATATATATAAGATATAAGAATGGTGTGTCGCCCGGGCTCTGATATATTTATAAGTATGACCTATATATATAAGATATAAGAATGGATTGTGTCAGTAAATCGAAAGTCAGGAAAATGCCCGGAAGTAAACAAATCTCAGGCTACAGACCCGCACCTAATGTGAGAGCGAGTCTCTGATTGGATAATATAAATGCACGTGAAAAGTGGTGGGAAATTTAAAATCGATATTTTATGCAATAAATATTTGCAAGCCAGCATGAAAACAGTTCTAAGAAGCCAACATGGATAGTGCAAATTTTATTTCATGGTGAGTAGTTTGTTTTATTACCATGTGTAGATCCCTTAAATAAATGCACACAAATAACCTGAACAATCAATTATAAATATTTATTGTAATAATATCACTAATTTTTACATGTTATTGATATAACAATACAAAAATAAACTGGTCAGAAGCAAACAAAGCACACAGCAAAATAAATTACTAAAATTATAACCTTGCAAACTGGAGATACCATGATTCATTTTTATATAATCAGCTATAGATATTCGGATATGTATGACTGAGCATGACAATGATAGATTTTCTACCCCAGTCAAAAGCATTGGCAAATAATATTGATGAAACATTTGTAAAAAATGTAACATATAAATATTTAACCATTCATATTTGTTCTTTGAATACATTATAAATTTAATTTCAAGACTTATAGAAACGTAGATTGAATTGTAAAGCTTGGCATTTAATAGAACTATATTAATTCTACATACTTATAAGTGTTTTCCTGTTGGGGCGCCTATTTTTATCTTTCCAAATTATTATTGACAACAATCTTAGCAAATTAATTGCTGAAAATGACAACTAATTCATGAAATACAAATGACCCAATGAGAATATTACTATTGATAATGCCCTCATACCTTTTGCTAAAAGCTGCTGAAATAGACAGAACATATTTACCTTAAAATTATCTTTTAAAAATTCAAAACAAAATCACAACTGAGAATAATGATGACAAACTGGATTTGAAGAATTACATATATGATGTGATCTTCATGAAATATGTTCAAAATTTTATTAGTTGCATTTCCTACATACTTTATATGTACAGTACTGTGATAACTTTGGAGATTGGTTTTGGAAGAAACCTGAAAATATTTCAGTAAATATGTAAAGGGTTATCATGAATTCTGTTTATACTCAATTACATTGCACCAACAAAAATTAAAAAATAGGTTTATGTAAGTAAAACAATTTAGAATATACAAAAGTGTAGTGACATATTAAAAGTGGAGTGCTAAAATGACATTTGAACAATTTATAATTGTTACTTATCAATACAATTTCTCCTTCCAAATAGGTAATTCAAAATTGCCAACGAAAGCACTGTCTTTTACGTAATCTTTCACAACACAGTCCCATCATACTTTGAAAGATATGTTGCACATTTTGGTTGGATTAGAAATTCGGAAAATATTCGTACGAGAATAGAACCGTGACCTGCTTCCTTTTCCACATCATCAATCAAGCTGTGGAATGATATACTGTCAGATGTGAAAACTTGTAATTAAAAAACCCAAACACATCAAAACATTTCTAAACGCCCAGAAAACAAAATCACCCCAAGACGCCATCGTACTTCTGCTTTGTACATCGGGATCGGTTGAGCAGGGTCACTGACTTGATTCATGTATGTCATCGTTCCCCAGTTGCGACTATGGGATAAGAACCGTGCGACGGGTGGAGTAACAATAACAACACGGCGTGGTCACAATACTTAATAAACATTAATCTGTTAAGCTGCGCATGTTTCGCTCAAACCTTCACGCCTGAAAGAAAATCTGTCTCACACTCCCCTGAACCACACATAGGCGCCCGGCTCTGATATATTTATAAGTATGACCTATATATATAAGATATAAGAATGGTGTGTCAGTAAATCGAAACAAAATGGCGGCTCGCCTCGCCTCGGCTCGGTTTCGGTCTGACAAACGCTTCCATCGCTTTGACCGTTGAATAAACCACACAATTTATACTCAGTTGACCTCTGTAAAGTACCATGCGTATCACTAACCTGGTGATTTTATTCCCATTTAAAGCTTTCAATAATTTTGCTGTCCACTCTCGTACAAAGTCAGGACATATGCCCCGGAAGTAAACAAATCTCAGGCTACAGACCCGCACCTAATGTAGAGCGAGTCTCTGATTGGATAATATAAATGCACGTGAAAAGTGGTGGGAAATTTAAAATCGATATTTTATGCAATAAATATTTGCAAGCCAGCATGAAAACAGTTCTAAGAAGCCAACATGGATAGTGCAAATTTTATTTCATGGTGAGTAGTTTGTTTTATTACCATGTGTAGATCCCTTAAATAAATGCACACAAATAACCTGAACAATCAATTATAAATATTTATTGTAATAATATCACTAATTTTTACATGTTATTGATATAACAATACAAAATAAACTGGTCAGAAGCAAACAAAGCACACAGCAAAATAAATTACTAAAATTATAACCTTGCAAACTGGAGATACCATGATTCATTTTTATATAATCAGCTATAGATATTCGGATATGTATGACTGAGCATGACAATGATAGATTTTCTACCCCAGTCAAAAGCATTGGCAAATAATATTGATGAAACATTTGTAAAAAATGTAACATATAAATATTTAACCATTCATATTTGTTCTTTGAATACATTATAAATTTAATTTCAAGACTTATAGAAACGTAGATTGAATTGTAAAGCTTGGCATTTAATAGAACTATATTAATTCTACATACTTATAAGTGTTTTCCTGTTGGGGCGCCTATTTTTATCTTTCCAAATTATTATTGACAACAATCTTAGCAAATTAATTGCTGAAAATGACAACTAATTCATGAAATACAAATGACCCAATGAGAATATTACTATTGATAATGCCCTCATACCTTTTGCTAAAAAGCTGCTGAAATAGACAGAACATATTTACCTTAAAATTATCTTTTAAAAAATTCAAAACAAAAATCACAACTGAGAATAATGATGACAAACTGGATTTGAAGAATTACATATATGATGTGATCTTCATGAAATATGTTCAAAATTTTATTAGTTGCATTTCCTACATACTTTATATGTACAGTACTGTGATAACTTTGGAGATTGGTTTTGGAAGAAACCTGAAAATATTTCAGTAAATATGTAAAGGGTTATCATGAATTCTGTTTATACTCAATTACATTGCACCAACAAAAATTAAAAAATAGGTTTATGTAAGTAAAACAATTTAGAATATACAAAAGTGTAGTGACATATTAAAAGTGGAGTGCTAAAATGACATTTGAACAATTTATAATTGTTACTTATCAATACAATTTCTCCTTCCAAATAGGTAATTCAAAATTGCCATCTAAAGTTTTCTGTCTTCATAGTTCACTGCATTTTCTCTTATCACAAGAGATACAAGCCCCAAACAAATTGATTTTTAGAAAACAACTTTCAAGTATGTTGGAAATAGAGTTACTATACAAAATAAAAGAAATATACATTATCAAACAAAACATACTCACTTTGTAATCATGCTCTATAATATGTTGTTTATTACAGGCTGCATAAGAATTATGTAGCAGATGAAAACCAAGAAACACCTGTTGGTACAATCATCAATAAAATACAGACACAATTTGGGAACAAATTAAAAAATTGTAGAGCTATTGGGAGATACATTTCAACAGCTTTTCCTTCAGTAAGAAAGGTCAAAGTCCGTGACCGTAATGATTGGTTGAAGCGACTTATGGTTTATAAAGGCTTGGGGGACAGAGTAAAAGAAGCTGAAGAATGTCTCTTATCAATACATGACATAGTGAAAAATACTCCCACCTGAATTCTTCATTCTAAGTCAGGATAACACACAAATCACTCTGGGCAAATCTACTTCAGAAAAATGCAATGGCAACACAGTCATTATGAAACTAATAATCTCAATTGATGGAACAGTGGACATTCAAATTGGAGATACAAGTGTTACGTCCCAAACCGGGATAGCAAATTCAGTGTCAATGGAAAAGTGTGCAATACAAAGCTTGTTGTGCTCAGTTTCCTCCATTAGGTTATGCCAAGACATACCATTTGATAAGTCCAATGAAAATCAGGAAAACATTCATGTTCAATGGAACAAACATGATCAACGCATCATGATGTCAATGTCATGCAAAAAAGTGTTGACCTTTAATAATTGGAAAGGAACCACAGCGTGTAAAAACAGTCGCTCAATCTTGAGTAAATCTATGCATACTAATGGGAATGATACTAATACAACTACAAACACAGAACTGTCAACGGATGAGCCAAACAGAGATCCCTGCAACACCCTCCCAGTGCATACACATGATTCCTATACCATCAGAGACATATTGTCAATATTGAAAGATAAGGCACCCTACCTTACAAACAATCAACTGAAACTCATTGAGTCTCAAGTGTCTAATTCAAGAACACAAGAAAAACACAGTCGACGGTGGGATAGCAGTATAATCCAGCTGTCTCTGGTCATGTGGACACGCAGTCCTAAAACATACGAACAGCTACTTCAAAGTGAAAGCTTAGTAATGCCCTACACACGCTCACTACCACGTTATAAGAATGCAGTTGAACAGGGTCCTGGGATAAACTATGCATTCCTCTGGATGTACCTTCAAGCTAGGCATGAGGAGTTACCTACACACGGCTACTATGGTGGCTTGATCCTTGATGAAATGTCAATTCAAGAAGACCTCCAGATTGTCCGGAAGAATGGTAACATCAAGCTGGTTGGATTGGCAGATGAGACAAGTTCCGGCTCTGAGTTAGCCAACCATGTGCTCCAATTTATCTTTCATGGTTTGACAGGCTTTCGGTTCCCGATTGCACATTATCCAACAAAACAGGCAAATGCTGCGTAATTGTACTCCAGTTTCTGGGATGTCATTGCCAAGCTTGAGGAGTGGAATTTTAAAGTTCTTTACTTTTCTATTGATGGTGCCTCAAACAACCGTGCATGTATCAAAACACACTATACTGGTTCACCTGTTGACCATCACATGGCAGCATTCAATCCATGCGGCGATGAGCCTGTCGTCTTTCTTGCAGATCCGTCACACCTCTTCAAAAAGATCCGCAACAACATCTTCAAGAGCGGTATTGATGCATGGCACACTAGGGAGTTGCTTGTGGACAGCACGCCTGTTCTCTGGAAGATGTGGGAGGACAACTAAACATGGGACAAGCAGCACAGTTTGTCTATCCATCACAAACTAAGCAACGAGCACATACACCCAAATCAGGCTGAGAAAATGCGGAATCACTTGGCAGAGGAGGTGCTGGATGACAACATGCTGAATTTGATGACACTACCAAAGTCACCGCGAGAAGGGATCCATTCTTCAAGGAGCTGTGACACTTCTCGAGCAAACAAGTCAGCTCATCAGCATTTTCCATGACAGTAGACCCATCACCTGTGAAAGTGATGTGAGGATTAACAAGTTAAGGCACATTCTCAATTGGTTCACATCATGGGAGAAACATGGCAACACCCGAAACCTCATATCATGGGAAACAAGGGAGGATGTGGCTTATCTCATAGTTGGATTCCTGAAGTTGGTGTCTGTGGCTACAAAGTCCCTCCACGTGAATGTGACACCACTGCACATTAACAGTGACATTTTGGAGAACCTATTCTCACAGCAGAGAGGCCTCTATGATGGGGCAGGAGCCAACCCTAACTACAGCCAGAGCAGCAGTGCCACCAACAGCATCCTTCTTTCAGAGACCATCATTTCAAACAAGTCCAATGCTTCTCGAAGGAAGAGTACATCTAGCCCTGCTGCAATGTCATTCCCTCAGCTCTGCAAAAAGTCAAGAATATAACAAAGTAAGTGTGCTTTCCTCCTTTTTCAGTTCAACATGTCTAATAACATACAATTCTTTCCACAGCAAAATCAGCAGAAAGGACAAAACCATGGGACCTCTTCAGTTGAGAATTTCTCCCAGTCTTTTTCGTACTTGATTCCTCCACAAGATCGATGGTACCATTGGTCACATTTGCTGCAGCTGATCCATGGTTCCTCATCATGGTCAGACCACGGTGCCTCACAAACAGTACGTGAATCCTGGTCTTCCTCAAGAACAACACTTTTTTTCCTTTCCTTGTTTTTCTTGTGCTAGTTCTTGCCTTTCCTTTTCCTTTCCCTTTCCCTTGTCCCATACCCTTTGTACTGCTTTTAGTTCCACTTGCCATTTCTGCTTTGTCATGCAACGCAGTCTCTTCTTCTGGACACGTCGTGCTTTCTTTCTGTTCTTCAGACGTCCTGTCTAGCATAGCAGGTTTGAGCACTGCGTCTGATTGTTGAATGCACTCTGACAAACTCTCTATTAGAATGTCCCTTTTTTCAACTTGCTTAGGGTGAGTCAATATGCTGCACCAATACGGATAAGCTCTTCCTTTGTGAATATGGCCAACTGCTTTACATCCTGAATCACACTACCTTTTAACTTCAAATGTGAAGCTTCCTTTCCTTTCGACTTGTCATCCTTCAAAGCTGACCATGACAGACTTTGTCTTTGAACCTGGGATGTCTTTTTCAGAAGAACTTGCTTGCGGTGCTCCAATGTCTTCATCCTCCCCATTTCATAAAGCAATTTCCTTCTGAACTCTGAATCTGTGACATTCAAGTACCTGTTCACAATTTGGGTGAACAGATCTGTGACAATGCTGCATCCAAGGGTAAGATCTTCCAGTATGCAACTGATGTCTTCTCGTTCCGTTGGAAACCATGCCAAGCTAAACTTTACAAACAGGCCAGCAAATGTTTGAAATAAAGACGTATCCGCCAGAACACATGAGTGGATATGTGTCAACAAATCTGATTTGTATTGGTCCAAATACATCTGCCCTTACAATGGTAATCTCTTCTTTTCCAGTAAAAGGAAGAATTCAAAGCATTCGTCTGAGATGTTGGTGAGACCAAATCTCACATTTTGTTTTCTTGACACTTCTGCGAGGCTAGCGGGATACTTTGTTCTGTCAACAACAATGTCCATATGTGCAGTTGTTAGAGATTGGAGCATGTCCACTTTCAGCTTGCTGTTGACATCAAGTTTGATCCTGAGGGCATGAAGAGAATTCCTAACGAGGTTCATGTAGTGGTTTTTCAGTTTTGCCACTGTGAATCCGGCCACATACCTCACTTTAGAATATCCAGTTTCTGGTACATCAGCTTCGCCCTCAGTGACATCCATGTGAATTGATCCCAAGTCCGCCTGGAGTGATTCAGCTGATTCCTTAGCAGCTGTGACATCTTTCCTGATGGCTGTAATAATGTGCCACAACAGAAGCTTATTCACAGGGGAATGTGAGAACAGTTCACAAGAACTTTTTTGATAATCATGTGTCAAAAGGTAGGCATGGAACCTTTTCATGAAAGCTGTTTCATCTTTCACCTTCTTTCCTGCGCCACACTCAGTGAAAAGTCTGGTTAATTTTTGGTGTTGATCCTCAAAGAAAAACTTCAACTTCTCTGGATTTCTCTGAAGAAAAACAATGGCTTCATTAATGCTCTGCTGCTGCGGTGTTACGGTATTGTCGTCTTTGAACGACATCAGAATATCTTGAACTTGACAGTCTTGGTATCTTGCTTCAGCTGACAGTGCTGGGACCTCTGGAGCAGCCTGAAACCAGTTGATATGATTTTTAAAGAAAATATACATACCTGAAATAATGGTTTCATTTGTTAACTAGATAATCTAAATAAAAAGAAAATTGATATGTTGGATAATTGGAGTAGAAAGGAAATGTATATTAACATATGACTTCATCATAGGAAATGAGATATCTCAGTGTTACTTGCCTGTGTAAGATACTGCACTGTAATATTCCCTTGGCAATATGAAACTAGTGTCATACCACTGCACGTATGACTTCATATTTGTTGACAATTATGCTATCAAAATGTTAGTATGGCCACAATGGTATTTGACCAATTTTGACTAGTGATAACATAAGTGTCAACACACTGTATTTCACTTGACTTTTTATGGTAGGAAATAAATAAAATACTAAACTTGTTCCTGTGAAATACATTTGTTATTAAACCTATGAATGATTAAGTATCAAACGTGTTGTCTCTCGCTTTATTCCAAATCGTTAACACGTCTATTGCAAATGGCATTACACTGGTGTTCGTTTAGTTCAATTTATGCACAATGTTCGCCTTAAATCAAACATTTAATATCCGTTCAATTTAGTATTAAGATCATCTAAAAACTATTTCACTAATGCTAACTTGTAAAATGTCACTTACCTTATTTCTAGATTCTGCTTCCGCTTCAAATTCCATGTTTGAAATTCTCTGAAGGTCATTGTCATCATAGTCGGATTCATCGGAGAAATCCATGACATCCATGGCTTCTCTTGAGGGAGCAACCATGTAGAGTATCTGTAACAAATAATGACATACTCAACATGGATATAACAATTTGGGGCTTGTTTGTATAAATAATAATTGCTTTGGTAATTATCCAGAAATAGATGTTTGTTTAAAGCCATGGCAGCTCTATAAAAGTAGCTGTGCATTTTTTAAATTTGGTTTCTGCTAATGATTCCCAAATGCTGGCAAATCTTGTGCAGCAATATCATGCTTTTCCTATAATTCCATTATGCGCTTTGCTTACCTCATCACAACATGACATGTCATCGTATTTCACAGGAAGATCTGGCTCATCGAAGAAGCTGTAAACTTCTTCTTGGTGTCTTTTTGAGCACTCTCTTGTGTAGTTCAGTACTTGTAAACCAGCTGCATCAACAGCTCGCCCAACTGCAACACCCAGTTGCCCCGGGTTGAAAATGTTCTTACAGTTGATTATAAGTCTGGGCAGTGTCAAACCCTGTGCCTTATGCACTGTAAGCGCAAATGCAGGCGCAATAGGAAACTGTTCACGTTCTGCTTCAACAATGTTGCAGCTGTCTACCACAGAAAACATCACTGTCTGCAGTTTCATTGAGCAAGCTGGAAATTGGACAGTTGGTCCGTCTTCGTCAAGTCTAGTCACAGTGCCCTGCAAACCATTCACTAGACCTTGTCCTGGGTTTCTTAACAGAATAACCGTACAGTTCACTTTCAAGCTGAGCACCTTCTTGGCTGTTGTACGTTTCAGCTTCCTGACAACTCCAGAATCTGTTGATCTATAAATCATGACATCTCCAGGTAAGCTTGAAATTTCACTGGCATTGTGCCAATCCACTTCCAAATGTGTCCCGTATAATGTCAAAGGTTTGTCACCAGGGACCAATTCTCTGGAGAGGCTTTCCATGAACCTGTGGGTTGACTCTGACGGGAATCCCCTTTCAAGCTTATTTACCGCAGCAATAAGTTCATGATCTTTCTCAGTTAAGACGACTTTGTGCTTTATTGCATCCCTCCAAACATCAGCCAAAAAGCAGTGCCGTCCTGGATCGTTGTTGAGAATGTTTGCGACAGGTGGCAGCTGAAACCAATCACCAACAAACACAACCTGCATGCCTCCAAATACATATCTGTCTTCCCTCAGCTTTCTGCATATGTATTCAACCTGAAAAGAGAAAGGTAAATCATAAGAATATTTCTTAATAAAAGCTAAAACAGTGACCATTCCATGTTATTTCACAATATTCACTTCAATTAACAGAAGCCATAACCAAAATCAATAGATCATGATAGACAAATCGCTTTTATTGGTCTAGAGAAGTATAAAGTTCATTAAAAGAAACATTAGATGGACAACTCACCCACTACTGCACATGTAAGTTGTAACATTACTTATGTCCTTTATGGAAATGGCCAAAACATAACGAGTACTTATTAATGAAAATAACACAGAAATATGTCTGCATTTCCAATGACATGGCATTGTACTTGCGAAGCCATTATCTTTTTGAAGAAATGACAGTATACCTATGGTTTCAAATTCTTTTAAACTTTATGTATGAAACAGGATAAAATTTCACAAATATCTTTTACAACAAAAGTGGAAGCAACCCTTACTGGTTATTAATGTACACTTTGATGTTATTACTTCTGCTGGATTAAAATAAGCAATACTTTCTTCACTTGTCTATTGACATAAGTGTCTATATTTCTTTTCATCCTGCAAGTCACAGTTACTTACATTTTCCCTTACAATTTCTTTCAAAGAAATTAGTCTAATTAAAAAAGAAACACAACTTCTATGGTGTATGTACAGCCCCAATTTTTTATTGCTAGGTATATTGTTGCAATTTTATATTCTTGTACTGCTAGGTATCTATTTATACTACATATGATATATTTTACCGACTTTCCAATGAAATCCGAGTTGTTATTGTAATTATTCAAGCTTGTGTCAGTTGACTTAACATACTTAAGCTACCTAACAACTATTTCTTTGAAAAAGAACACTTTGGTTTTGGGCTAACCAAGCCATATACCGAGGAACATAAATGGGATATTCCTATGATTCATTGATTGTCAAACATCTTTCATGATATTAATATCTGTTTGGCACATGCCTGTTCAAGCTGTAAAGCTTGTTCACCAATCCCAATTCATTTTTTATGAATAAAAATATGTTTAAACCACATACCTGTTCAAAAACATGAACACTGATCATGCTACTTTCATCAGCAAACAGTACATCGGTGGATCGTATCCTGAGCACAGTTGAATGATATTCTTTATAGTTTGGCATGAAATGCATGTGGACCCGGTTTTTTGTAAATATCTCTTCATCCAATGACCCAATCGATCTCAAACTGTGCAAGTGGATGTTTTGTCAGACAACCTAATCACATTGTAAATCACCGATTTTATGCATTTGTATTAAAGAATCTGTCTATGTAACTGTCAACAAAATAAACAGCAGAACGCAGAATGCTTGCAGAGGGAGGGAGCCAATGACCTGTAACAGCGGCAGTGTTGGGTCATAAAATAAAGGTCAACGTTCGTCAATGTAGGTCAGCTATGCACGTGACAGGTATGAACAGGTGTCACATGTCGTGAATAGGGTAAGGTGGGTGCCAACTGTTAGCCTTGAGCGAGGCGAGGCGAGCCGCCATTTTGTTTCGATTTACTGACACACCTTTCTTATATCTTATATATATATAGGTCATACTTATAAATATATCAGAGCCGGGCGCCTATGGAACCACATTATTTTCGATACTGCCAATGCTAAAGCCCCAAAAGAAGCAAGTCTAGATTTGCTCAGGTTCTGAATTTCCCATCTCACTTGGGCTCATTTTCAATTTAAATGGGTTTATTAGTTTCTATCAACATTATATATATTTAGAGACTAAGCGTTAGTCTAGCCTGGAAACAGTGTACAGACAATTATCTTCGTTACTCCTTCCCCATTTTGTTTCGTTGCCCTACATACATTGGATATTAATTTCCCGTAGCTACTCGCTGAAGACGACATGTCACGCTGCCTCCGCGTGACCATTCACCCGCACTTCACATGAACTGCCACGGGTTTGTGACATCCACGAAACCCACAAGTTAGTAGAGACTTTGTTGTTCTGATTCATATTTGATAAAACTGTATATGTAATATACATTTCTTCAAGGCAAACTGAAATTTGATATGACACATAAAGAAAACAAAAATTTAAAGGGAAGCACTCGTGCGCAGTGAAATGACAACAAGCTTTCCGCTTTCCTATCCAATTTTGCATTCATCATTTTAACATTGAATATCCAATAAATAGAGCTGTCTTATATGTGGGAACATGTGCACGAGAGAGAGAGAGAGAGAGAGAGAGAGAGAGAGAGAGAGAGAGAGAGAGAGAGAGAGAGAGAGAGAGAGAGAGAGAGAGAGAGAGAGAGAGAGAGAGAGAGAGAGAGAGAGAGAGAGAGAGAGAGAGAGAGAGAGAGAGAGAGAGAGAGAGAGAGAGAGAGCGTGTCTTGTAAACTGTGTGTCATTTCGTATGTATTTAGTACTCGTGTACTGTGTTGTGACTGAAACTCCATACATGAATAAGGCCTGATCTGACGTCCACGGAAACGTCGGCATGGCAGCTATATTTGGGACGACCTAATGTAACCTCAGTGTACTCTAGGCAGGGCATTACGTTAACCTGTGAATCATGTACCCCCAAACACATACCATTGCGTCCTTCACCTGCCGGGTGTTTGTTGAAACAGCAAATCTGATATATGACTGGGGGTGGTGGGATAGACCATAGGCGGATCCAGAGTGTGTGTGTGTGTGTGTGTGTGTGTGTGTGTGTGTGTGTGTGTGCAGGGTGCGCACCCCACTTTTGTGCTGAAAGTTTGTTAAATGACCATTAAAACTCGGGTGAAAATGAAGTGTGCACCCCTCCTTTTCTCAATAGTGTGCACCCCCCCCCCCCTTTCTCAAAAAGCTGTATCCGCCCATGTAGCCTAATGGTTAAGGCGTTCGCTCGTCACGCCAAAGACCCGGGTTCGATTCCCCATATGGACACAATGTGTGAAGCTCGTGTTTGGTGTCCCCCGCCGTGATATTGCTGGAATATTGCTAAAAGCGGCGTAAAACTATACTCAGTCAGTCAGTCAGTCAGTGATATATGACTGAGATATACCTGTAGGGCGTTCGGTTCAAAACTTTGAATCTAAAACCAGTGAAGTGTTTCTTACTCTATTAGTGACATATTACCATGGACACTGTTCTGATAAATGTTTAACATGGAACAAAAAATGAACAGCAACATCAAATATCACATCAAGTTATTACAGTGAACCCACAAACAACTATTTTCCGATACACTTAAGTGGTAACGTTATATTTTCTCCAAAACTACCTAGGTCATCAGTAGCCACTGCATGTACATATATACACAGGCCGGACTTAACGAATTTCTACTATCCAGCTCAGCTAGTTACTTTTCGGTGTGGAGGAATCACCAAATGTCACCTACTTAAAAATATCTGTGCAAACATTCAGCATAAATCATCGTGTTGGATTAGGCAACACCAAATACTGAAAAAATCTTACCAGTTATAAGTACAGGATAGAGGTATATGTACAGAGCTTACAAATCTCACCAAAAATCATCTATCACATATCTCGATCTGCACCTTACGACACCAGCTCTGGAACCTTCAGATTCTGATTCAGTGTAGTAAACCTCTACATGTATGTGTGTCGGACCGACGAGTGGAAGGATTCCTGTTCCTATCGTGCGAGAGGGGAAAATACATGATTCATTCCACGTGTTTTGTAACATCAATGTGACACATAATAGTGATCGAGTGAATTTTGAATTTCCCTTTCAACCGTCATCTTATGATAATTGTCGAATAACGTCGCTCTAGTGTGATGTCAGTCCGATATCAAGTAAGAATCACATCAACGTCAGATCACATCAACATCCTGATAGCTTTAACTATACACTGGTGTTCCTGAAGTGTCATTTATACGAGTGCACATACGATGTATATTAACTCGGTTATATCCAACCCTATGTGTAAATAAAGTTTCATACATAACACAAAATTATAATGCCTTGTTTTGTGGAAGGAAATTCAATTAAATCGATAAAACAAAAACCTGTCATGTGTTAGTGACAGTCCTATTATATGGCATCTGAACATTCCAATGACAGATAAATTTACAGAAAATTAGACAAGGTGACAAGTTAATCTCTATGAATACAAACTGCAACTGGCGATCACGCTCACAACCCACAGCCAATTGCAGTTTTAATGAAGCTGTTTTCAACAGTATGTCAAAAGACGATTTGAAGGTCAGTTTTCTTCAGGAGAAGTACAAGTAAGACCGCGTTTCTCCGTGTAAATGCGATAGTGAGAGAGACGTGATACACAAGTGGTATCAATGTGCACGTTAAATCACGCGGCCATAAGTGACCAATCATGAGACACGACACAAGGAAAGATAATGGAATCACAAAGTGAGACTATTCGATGTCAAAAATAATTAAAACAGAAAATGTTGTATAGCTGTCTATTTATGTATGCATGCCTATGTTGCTTATCTCATTGTTCATATTAGTGACTGATTTAAGAGGTCTGTCTGTTAATATATATTATTTAAGGTTCTTGGTATTTTGTAAGCGATGGTTAAGTGACAGCTGTGACGGAAGGATTGTGTAGTAGCTGTTACAGATAAACTGACAGTGCGCTTTATTAGATTATTTTAACGTCAGTGACAAAGTAGATTGTTACTCGGATTTCTGAGGCCACTGACGGACATAATTCAATATCCTTCAGTAATGACTGTGGTTATCCCGTTTACCAATGGTACAACTCTTACTGGGACTTTACGACACATCCACGCCTAGAAACATACGTATAATAGAATGAATCATGAACAGTGTGTATGAAGATAATACACATCGCAGATGGAAGAATAACATTTTGAACACCGAGCACCATTTCATCTTCTATAAACATGTCGTGTATTCGGGCCTTTTTATACACAATGTGCCATACATATGTCTATTAAGAGAAAGTCTGGATATTTGCTGATAACAACATAACACAAAGATATAATGAACATGATGATAGAGAGAGCAGGTATAATAGACTCACCTGTAATAAAACCTTCCTTGTAATTCGACACCATGTTTTGCTCTGGTGAGGGTTTTCAAAAGTAAACGTACCCGCATGCACAGAGAGACATGTGCATTCGACACCATGTTTTGCTCTGGTGAGGGTTTTCAAAAGTAAACGTATCCGCATGCACAGAGAGACATGTGCAACGGTTTGCAATTACTAACGTCAAGTACGTGTGTTCATGAACACGTAAACTACGTTTACAAAACAAAGCAATATGTTCACTTTAAGGATCTCGCTTAATGTGCAAGTTTCTGTGTCACTAAGCAAGTTTTTATGTCATTACAACAGGCTATGTACATATTAGGCCCCAGTGCACATGCTGTTGGCGACTGGTATCGCCCGTGTCATTGACATGGTTACATGCGATCAATGTACATCTTCTCCAGTACAAGGATGATTCAAATCACATGTTCAGTATAATTAAGGACTGCGATGACAACTGAATCACAAAACAACTTTATATTTGATGTTCCAAATTGCAAAGTTCACACTCATATGCTACATCCAACCCAGTAGCGTGTCAAATTAATGTTGCAGCTGCCACCCCATCCATTCAAAGCATATCTTGAGGGGGCTTTCATAACTGCAGATAACACCAACGTTTTTATCTTTGTGTACATATATGATATCGGCGACCGTGTAGACTCGCGCGACCTAAGTATCATTCTGCACAGGACTGACATATTGAATTCGCTGACATTTTAGATGAATTGACATGCACATGTCGCACAGATAGCTAAGTTATTAGCACACGTAACTGGAAAGGGTACAGGAAAGTTCACTGACGACAGTTGATGAATATAACACAATAATTACACACCAATACAAACATAAATGTCATCCCCACCGTTTCGTTGATTGTAACCCCCTATACAGTACGTGTATAACGTTAATGCACTGCTTATTACAAAATATATACCTAGCATGTGTTATACATTTATGAATTTGATTTCAGTTATACGAAAAGGTAATTGAAGTGAGTGAGTGAGTGAGTGAGTTTATTTTTATGCCGCACTCAGCAATATTCCAGCTATATGGCGCCGATTTGTAAATAATCGATTCTGGACCAGACAATCCAGTGAGCAACAGCATGAGTATCGATCTACGCAAGGGAATTAAAGTATGTGTGTCTAGTACAAATAACATTATACTCATAACATCACCTGTGATAGAACCAGTACTAGTGTCAACGTGGTAATTCACAAACGGTTTCCTACATATAAGAGTATGTCAGTAGACATACATGTAGATTTGTACAACACACAGATGCAGTTTTATCATAAAAGAAATAGCTATGTCAAAAAGAAAATTTAATGACCTCATTACGCCTAATTCATTTAAAGGGTACAACAACAGTAGCTCTCGGGTAAAGTAAAGTTCATACCTCACTACACCCAATTCACTTAAAGGGTATAACAACAGTAGCTCTCGGGTAGAGTAAAGTTCACACTTCATTACACCTAATGAACTGAAAGGGTGAGCTGTTCCTGCGTGGCACACGCCCTCCACACAATTTCCCTGTGTGGCACTTGTAATCAGTGATGTGTGACAAACGCATGTGCCACAGAGAGAAACCACCGAAGGTACCGCGAATGACATTTATTAAGAGATACTGATATCCTAAATTGTTTTAAAGATATCTTGAATGAAAATAGAGATATCTTGAATTGAATTGAAGACATCTTGAACTGAACTGAAGATATCTCGAACAGAGAAAATTATAGATATATGCACAAAAAAATCATGATGTCGCGAAATGAATTAATGATATGATAAAGCATATTAATGATACATTGAAAACAACTGCTGATATCTTGAATTGAATTATAGATATCATGAATTATTTTCTAATACAACTATGTACACTATGGTCGTAAGTATTTTATTGATATCTTCAACACATTTAGAGAAAGCACGACATGTTTTTGATATCTCTGTAACATTTTGTGATATCTGTAATTTTATTTGAATATCAGAAATTAATTACCGATATCTTCAATTATTTACCGATATCTTTAAACCACTGTTGATATCTTTAGATTGAATACAGATCTTTTAAGACAACTGAAGATATCTTAAATATCTTAACAAATGTGAAAATGGGTTGTCATAAGGCGTAACTTTGTCCCAAATATATGTTTAACAACACAGTGTGTGCCCCGACACGACTGCGGTGACATCTGATCGGCGCCAGACTTCTGCAGCGTGTCTACCTCGTGCCGCATCGCTGCTCATAATCTAGTATGAGCGTTACAAAACCTGACGCTTGCTAGGTGGTGTTGCGTGAAGCCCATGACACAACAGACAATTTATGGCTGGCAACATGGGAGGGGAGATAACAAAACCTCTGTCGACAAACCGGTGTCACAAATAAACATACATCCTGGTCATCGGAGTTGTTGCCATGGAGACGCTATTAACGACGAATTTCCACAGAGGTTTTGCAAGCTAGAAATGCATCCCCAACACATTAGAATAAACCTCTGTCGACAAACCGGTCTCACAAATAAACATACATCCTGATCATCGGAGTTGTTGCCATGAAGACGCTATTAACGACGCCTTCCACAGAGGTGTTGCAAGGTAGACATGCATCCCCAACACATTAGAATACTGCAACAAATTCATTATTTAGATTTGCGGGTATTATCATGATTGCTTCAAAGTCGCGAGTGTTTGGGGATGTTAGTTGCCTCTTACAACAAAAACGGGTTGCTGAAGACCAATTCTTACCCGGATCTTCACGGGTCCAATATTAACTGTGCGCTGAACAAGTAAATGCAGATACATAAAGGAAGGATGAAATATCCATCAAAGCGTTATGAACTGAAACTGCTTGGCAGAAAGTGAACACTTCAAGATCTCCAGGTGTCCCGAGGTAACTATGACACAATGATCAGTATCAATCATATGCGTGCCATGGCATTTTCCATGAGATGAGGATAACATATTCGCCTTGTCCATTTCCAGCTCATATGTGTTCTATTTGGTATTGCGGAGGGCGCCCATTACAACTCGGTTCAGTCTGGGGGCTGTATGGTGGAGGTGGAGCAGTGGTAACATCACTCTCGTAAATTTTACATACGTGTTCTGCCTCGTATTGCGGAGGGTGCCTGTTACAGCTCGGTTCAGTCTGGGAGCTGTATGGCGGAGGTGGAGAAATTGGCACGTCACTCTTGTACATTTTACATACGCTGCTCACGCTGATATTGTCCTTGTTTCTTTTCGTATAGAAGATCTTGTATTTCAGAAAACCTAGAATGGTAAGTAAGGTCATCGTGGCGTAGACAGAACAGATGACAATTAACTGCTGTTTGTATTCCGTGCTGTTTTCTGAAACAGAGATGTACAGTATTCAGGTTTCATAACGCAAAGAATCCTTTGGGATAACTCATGGTAAAGGTGCTTGGTCATATCATGAAACCTGTTTCAGGTGCCCCTCCCTTGGAGAACTGTGCGTATAACCTACTTGTATTAATATTTGTTACTGAAGTCCTCGGATCGAAATCAACATTTAAGAGAAAGTGGCAAATGAACCATATCATGTATAATACTGTCTAATGGTGCTTATCAAAAGACGAATATCGATTCTTCGCAGTTGGTCTTACCAGGTATTGAACTATATGCCTCTCATGAACCTGAACAGTGTGTTATTGTGACGTGATATCGTAAAACCATAATGCCTCAATACATTCTGAATCTAAAGTGATGTCATCTGCGGGTGTATCTCCCTGTTTCAATTATAAAACAAAACCATCCTTTGTATTCGGACACAATCCCTGACGTTGTGTATTTTACTTGTATTCTCATTTTGAAGTTACATAAATTGTTATAAGGTGAATCCGCTCACTTTGGGTGGAGTAGTACGTGATGCAAAATCCAGATGCGGAGACGTTAGCGTTTGTATTGAGTATAAACAGGGCGCTACTCTCAGAGCTGGTGATGTCTGCAGGTATCGTTGATCCGCAGAACCGTCCAAGATGACGGTCAATGTCCTCACCGTTCCCACCTGCAAATCAGGAATCGCCTTCATGAGGACAGGTGTTATTGTTATGAAATGTCTGAACGTTTCGTTGCGTCGTGGGGGAAATACAATTTTGCCATAAACTACATGTGGGTTTCGTGCCGTTATGTGGGATCATTGACATCAATTTGAAACCATGCATCGTGTTGAAGAATTACATCATTGTCACAAACCATTCATCTGGAAATACATAATTTTTATAAACAGGCCTTCATGTCATAAAGAAACATATCATTATCACAAACCATGCATCTGGGAATACATCAATCTAATAAACAGGCCTTCATCTCATAAAGAAACACATCATTGTCACAAACCATGCATCGTGTCATGGGGAAATATATCATTGTCACAAATTATTCATCATGCCATGAGAAAATATATCATTGTCACAAACCATGCATCGTATCATCGGGAAAAATATCAATGTGTCAAATAATTATCGTACCATGAGAAAATATACCACTGTCACAAACTATACATTGTGCCATTAGGAAATATAATATCATTGTCACAAACTGTGCATCATACCATGAGAAAATATATCATTATCACAAATCATACATTGTGCCCTGAGGAAATATATCATTGTCAGAAACTATACATCGTGCCATGAGGAAATGAACATATCATTGTCACAAACTATGCATCGTGCCATGAGAAAATACATCGTTGTCCCAAACTATGCATCGTGCCATGAGGAAATACATCTGAGATTCATTGTCACAAACTATTCATTGTTAGAAACTAATACACCGTGCCATGAGGAAATATATCATTGCCACAAAGGGAAATGCATCGTGCCATGAGGAAATATATCGAAGTGGGGCCTATTATATAGCAGAGTGGGACCTTGCTGAGGTTACGCAGATTACTGTGATTCAGATCATAACTCCCTAAACTCACCGTCGTAAACATCTAGGTAGTCTCGTGTACACTTGGCCGATCCCTCCAGATCGAAGTGGGTGAATGTTATGTGGAGAGCGCTGTTAGAATCTTTAGCGTGGGCCATCAAAGACCATCTTATGCCACTGGAAAGAAACGGAACTGTCAGAGTTCGTCAATAATGATCACATAGTCTGGTATAAGCGTGCCTACTCTGGCCTACGATAGACAATCATGCATGTTATTAATATGACGGTGACGAGAATGGAAATACGTATATCCGACTAAAGACACAGTACCTCAAACGGAATGCGCGTAATGATTCCTCTAAAAGATATTTTTCAGTTATACCTTGGCATAAAATTGTTTTCTTTTCCTACTCGTGTAAAATTTTCTTTGTACAAAAAAGTATACAAAGCTTCATATACTCTTCCAAACATATTACATGTAATAATTACTCTAAAAGATATTTTTGAATTATATCCTTGAAATAAAATTGGTTTCCTCTCCTTGTACAAAAGAAACGTGTAAAACTCTTCATATACTCTTCAAATGAAATAAAGTATTCTACACGCTCATATTTAAATATTGTAAAATAACGTGGAATTCTTAGCCTCCATGTATGCTTTTATAATCCCACAGTCTGACCCAGGTGTACCGGCTACGAAAGTCGGAAGTCGTTGATAATGATTATGAGTTGTTTCAGCTACCCGTTATGATATATGATATTTTTGTGCAGCGCCAATATCCAGCTCAGCACAGCTGCTCAAGGGCGTTTTGTTTTTCCCTCGATCACTGGATGTCAATCTCAACGGCACATCGTAGTTTGCAATCTTAACTCTTGCGATCATGTAACTCTTGCAGCCATTTGCCATTTATGCGCACCAAGTTAATGTGTCTTTCCCATCCTTACGAGGTACCCATTCACAGCTGGCACGACTGGGACACAGAACACAGTACACAGTACACCCCCTGGGAAGGGGTGTCCTGCGTGATAACTTCTATGTGGAAGAGTAGGTGAACGAATAAATTAATGTTTAGACTGCTTGGATGAAAGGGAAAATCATGTTTAATGCGTAAGCGACATGCATGCACAGAGGCGTGCTTGTGCTTGTGTTTGTGTGCGCACGCGCGTGTGTGCGTGTGTGCACGTTTGTACTTGCCAGGACTCATGCTGGTTTTATTAAAGTACATTGACATAAATGCCGCAGTTGAATATGCACTCTCTCACCCAACAACGGCCCCAGGGACGACTGGTCGTTATTTATCCCCTCACTTTATGCGGCAGTGAGGGTAAGTACAATCTCTTGGTCTGACGCTAACAGATGATCGTACCACATTCCTTCCACTCACGCTCTACACTCTATCAACTTGACCACGGAGACATTCTTACTGCGCTTCGAAAAATGTTGCAGTTTTTTTTTCTTCTTTATAAAAAGCCTAAGTGACACATAACACAGATACAAAACGCGATTTCGTGGTGCGGACATAAAGGCCATCCGTGATCCTCCAACTGGGTCTAACAGTCTCCTGTAACGACCAGGACCAAGATAGCCCACCTGCCACTGATATGTGTGAGACTGTTGCTCCAAACCACGTTGTTTTAGAAGAAGAAAAGGTATTACGTACTTGGGGTAGTGTTTCGGGTAGTTAAGGGAACATATCTGATGTGATGGCGACGGGATATCCTCTGTTCTTGCAGCTGCAACAAATATATATATTCTAAGATACCAAATGTAATACTTTCTAAGGATAATTTCGATTAATCTAAGGCAGAAAACAAACGGCGGTGTCGGTAACCTAAATTAAGACTCCTCGCACAGGGCTAATTGACGCGCTGTTCTTTTGACGTGTCTGCCCCCTACGTTAAGACGAACGTTACCAGAAAAACAAATGAAAAACAGTTTGGTCACGGTTGCGTTTCGGGTTAAATATCTTCTCTAAATTATTTCAATTACATCTGTGATGAACATTAACCATATGGGGCAATATGAACGTCACCTTTCTACTACCAACGTAAGTTTAGATCAGTACATCCACATGACTAGTCAAGCGCATTCCACGATTGCATTGTGGGAATGTAAACATTGCAAACGTTTCCCGTGTCGCTGTAAAATTGTGAGTCGAACTATGAGACATTTTATCCGTTGGAAAACATAAACGTAATGTTTCCACCAGTGATGTTAGCTGAGTGACGCAACTGTAAACCAAGAAACGGGATCCAACGGTGTAGTTTACTGTAGGAGCCTGTATACCAGGCGATGACAACTGACTCAGTTACATAGTGACGTAATGCAAAAGTGTTTCGATTACGAGGGGGAAGACTAGAATGGTGCAGTGACGCCAACACATTGTGACGTAATGCAAAAAAGTGCACGTTATCGTCTGATAAAGTACTGTCGGCGCCTTTGATCTTTCACCGAAGCCTCTTAGAAATATATATATATAGATAGATATATATGCATGGCATATACTATAATAAAAGTAGGGGATATGCCATATAATATGAGTGTCACAGCTATTTATATTTTATTATGAACTACATGTATATATATTTATATTTAACAGTGGACATCTGACTGAAATTTGCATTTGTCGTTGAACCTCAGATGCCGATAGCTTTTCCAAATCTTTATACATTCATACAGCTTGGTTCCCAAATAATATCACCCTAAAATGGAAGATCCTTAAATTTTAATAGTATATATTATAAACGGACAGTGACAGAAATCCGTTTGGTCGATATGCATTTTCATCAGAAAACACACTGATGTTGGTAATAACTTTCAATTTGGATTGAAAAATATGTTAACAAAACGGTACAATCATAATAAAAACACCTCCTTGTAAGAACAAAATTTTGCATTTGGTTTTGAAAGTTGACGTTTCTTTTGCGGTTCAGTACATAATTTACCATTTGTTTCAAGTTACACCAGCTATTTAAATGATATCCTGATATCAGATATCTTCAGATAAGTATCGTCGGTTAACATCCAGGTTACATTTGATCTTCAGCAACACATGCTTGTAAAAGGCGACTAACTGGATCGAATAGTTAGGCTGCCAGACTTGATTGATGCATGCAGAAAGTCTGGAGTTATAAATCGATAGAGCACTGTTATTTTCGTGATTGCTTTCATGTTGCTGTTGTCATTCAATTAATCAGTGAGGACAGAACACATTTATCATGACTAACAGAACACATTCAAACAATATATGATATTAAATAGAGGAATGATTCAGCGATCTGTGACTTTCGGTATTTCGGTTCAACGTCTTAAGGTTTAACGAATCAAAATGATGTATCAAGGCATGTGACAAAGAAAGGTCAGCTTCAAACCCGTTATAAAGATATCTTTAAAGCTAGCGGAGGGCATGTTCCAAATTTGCCTACACTATTATCAAAACAAATTTACAGTGGCTATGCTTCATGCAAGGTTAAACATGGAACTACTTGCTGTGTACAATCGATTAATCCAAGTCGGTTCTAATGTCTTTATGAATTGCTATCACAGTTTGATAATACTGTCTCAAGTCATAGGATTTGGGAACTTAATGCTTAACAATGTGCCCTGCTGCGTCAAGGAACTGAATGGCTGTCCTTCTCCAGGTCACAAACTGCTTCTTCAAACGCTGTAGACGCTGGTCAGTGTCCCAATATACAGGAGGTCTTGGTCAGGAAGTTGCACCATGGTCCAGCTGTGGACGGGCTCTTCTGTCTGTCATTTCTTTCTTATTAATTGCTTGTATGAATTCACAGAGGTTAGGGTGGGCCTTGTACAACCCCAATGAGACAGCATGTAAAACTAACGGAATATGTAAAAACGTAACGCAAAACGTAAAAAATAACGCATTATGTAAAAAATTAAGGCAATATGTAAACGATGTCTTTAACGCAAAAAGTAGAACACCTAACGCAAAATGTAAAACAATTTTTAACTTAATATGTAAAAAAATAACGCAAATGTGAAATGCAATTTTAGGTTTGAATATTAGGGGTGGCAATCGAAATCACATTTTTTTCACAAATTTGACAAAAATTGACTTTATTTACCAAAAATAACATATCGCAATTTTCTGACAAAATAAACTTCATACTACTTTTTTTTTACAAACTTTTACTTCGTTGTTCAGTATACATGAAAGCATTGTCGATAAACATATAATTTACTTGTGTATAGAGATGTTTTAATCGATCTTATAGTCTATTTTCGAAAGTTTTAAAGGAATAATTTTATTCTTCAAAGTCTGTTTTCATAAATGGTATTGCGGGTTATATTCATTATGTCTTATTCAAGAGGGTTTTCCCTTTTGGGTTTGACTCCTTCAAACTGTCCATTCCGTTGTTGATAACCTGTCATTACCGAATTGGGTTTTAAAAGAAAACCACTTATCGATCCTTCTTAACCGTTTTGAAATAACATGCATGTTGTAGTACTATTTCCAGTTTTAACATACGCATTGTGGGATAAAAGAAGGCCGAAAGGTAAAGCATCCTTGAATAGGACTTAATGAATACAACGGTACCCATATGACCATTTATGTAAAACAACTATGAAGAATAAAATGATTTCCTTGGATACTGTTGAATATAAATTATGATATCTAGTATCTCTATACATGAACATGTATGTTATACAATTATCGACTTTACTTTGATGTTTATTGACCTTATAGATCAGATTTCCATTAAATTAGACAGGAGGTTAATTTTGACAGAAATATAGCAATATCTTAGTTATTTTGAAAAAGTAAGGTTTCTAAAAGATGAATTTCAGTCGCCAAGACTTATAAACAACAAAAATGCTGAATTTTACATATTCCGTTAATTTTGTTCATATTGCGTTAAAAAATTCTTTTTGCTTGTTTGCGGTAGGTGTTTACGTATTGCGTTGAAGGCATTTTTTACATGTTACGTTAATTCTTTACATATTGCGCTATGTTCTACGCTTTGTGTTAAGTTTTCACATGTTGTGTTAGTTTTACATAAGATAAAGTAAACTTATGTGAGTACAAAAACCTGCTATCCGACCCCTCACTCCTCGACTTAGCGACCCTCTCCGGACCAGGCGAGTGTGGAGACGTACATTCTCCATGACAACCTGGAACGGCAATGCACGTAGGAAACTGTTGTAGGGTCCCCTGACAACCAGTCAATAACGTGAGCCCTTACAAGCGTCCCATGAATAACACATGTCACTTCTAGTTAATATGTACGTGATGACAGCATGCCTACTAATGTCTACAGGCATGGTTGGTTACCTTGTATAATCAGCCACAGGCAAGATGCCAGAAGTACTGTAGCAGTGGAGAACTTCATCTTGTGCTGGACGCAGCTATTTTGAATCTTAACCCGCAGCAGTGGTAGTCCGACTAATGCTACAAGAAGTGAGAGCCACCAGTAACACATGAAATGGTGCTTATGTACTGACACATAGGCGTGACATGCGGCTGTGCTCACTACTGTGTCCACTGAGGGCATACACGTGTATATCTACACTAGGCGATAAAATTTAAGTAAATCATTCATACCTGTCCTGTGAAACGCTGTTATCAGGAGGGGTGCGGTGGTGTAGCCTAGTGGTGAAGGCGTTCGCTCGTCACGCCGAAGACCCGGATTCACCTCCCCACATGGGTACAATATGTGAAGCCCATTTCCGGTGTCCTCCGCCGTGATATTGCTGGAATATTGTTAAAAGCGGCGTAACACCATATTCACTCACTGTTATCGAGAGTTCCATTGCATTGTAGAATAACTCGTGTAACGCATTTTAAATTAATTCACTGAAAAGAGGTGATGGTTTGTCAGAGGGTTTGAGATGGATTGTGTATGGATTTGTGTGATGGATTTTGTATGGAATTGTGTGATGGATTGTGTATGGATTTTTGTGATGGATTGTGTATGGATTTGTGTGATGGATTGTGTATGGAATTGTGTGATGGATTGTGTATGGAATTGTGTGATGGATTGTGTATGGAGTTGTGTAATGGATTGTGTATGGTATTGTGTAATGGATGGTGTATGGAGTTGTGTGATGGATTGTGTATGGTGTTGTGTAATGGATTGTGTATGGTATTGTGTAATAGATTGTGTATGGAGTTGTGTATTGGATTGTGTAATGGATTGTGTATGGTGTTGTGTATTGGATTGTGTATGGTATTGTGTAATGGATTGTGTATGGAGTTGTGTGATGGATTGTGTATGGAGTTGTGTAATAGATCGTGTATGGTATTGTGTAATGGATGGTGTATGGAGTTGTGTAATGGATTGTGTATGGTATTGTGTAATGGATTGTGTATGGAGTTTTGTAATGGATGGTGTATGGAGTTGTGTGATGGATTGTGTATGGAGTTGTGTATTGGATTGTGTATGGTGTTGTGTATTGGATTGCGTATGGAGTTGTGTATTGGATTGTGTATGGTGTTGTGTATTGGATTGTGTATGGAGTTGTGTGATGGATTATGTATGGTTTTGTGTGATGGATTGTGTATGGATTAGTGTGATGGATTGTGATTAGTTGTATGGTGGATTGGGAATGGATTTGTGTAATGGATAGTGTATGGGTTTGTCTGATGAATTGTGTGTAGATTTGTCCGATGGATTGTGTATGGATTTGTGTGATGGATTGTGTCTGAATTTGTTTAATGGATTGTATGTGGAACTGACTGCTGGATTGTGTCTGAACCTGTGTGATGACTTGTATATGGAGTTGAGTGATGGATTGTGTATGGGATTGTGTGATGGATTGTGTATGGAGATCTGTGATGGATTCTGTATTGAGTCGTGTGGTTGTCTGTGTATCAAGTTGAGTGATAGATGTGTATGGAGCTACGTGATGGATTGTGACTTGGGCTGTGTCTGAAGCTATGTGATGGATTATGGATAACCTTGTGTGATGGATTGTATCAGGAGTTGTATGATGGATTATGGATGAAGTTGACTTTTGTATTGAGTATGTGTGATGTATCATGGCTAGAGTTGTGCGATGGACTGTGACTGACGGTTTGTGGTGGTTTGGATATGGTTTTCTGTGCTTGGTACGGAGTATTGTGTTGATTGAGCATTGAGTCGTGTCATGGGATGACCGTGGAGTTGTGTGACGGTTGTGCTAGGGATATGTCTGTGTTAAGTCGGACCTGTCAGATTGAATGAAGGGTGTGTGGTTCGTAACGTGATAACCCTATGTGATCAGCTGGGATCACGTATGATTATCGCCAGTCTGTTCGTGTTTACAACATGACCAAAGATAACTGCAGATAAGACGAGACATATTGGTATGTTACTTTTTTTTGTCATTGTCTAAATTTTTCTCCTATCGACCAATTTTTGTATTATCAAAAGTTAAGGTTTTAGAAACAAACGGAGTCAATAGATATAATGCTTGTATTTGATCTTGTACTTGAGCCGAATAAGATCAGTAGTTCAATGTAATTCCATAATGTGTGTCATAGTTCTCCGGCATATGCACATTCAAGGTATTCGTGAGTTAACGGTTAGGGAGAATACAGCCCTTTTCAAATTATGATTGCAACTGAAGCCATTATATACATCTCGTCAAAAGTGTTACAGTTGGAATTTGAGATTATTTGGCGCCATGCTGGGGGTTTATCGACAACGCAATATACAGGAAATTTGGTGGAGGCTCTGTCACGGTAGACTGCTGTTCCTATGACTGTAAGCTTGACTTGATAACAATTCAGGGGGAATTAAATGAACAATATTACAAGATACCATATCGGGCGGTTGTGCTGTGCCACAATGGTTTCGCTGTCCAGCGTTCGTGGACGACAACGATCGACCGCGACGAGCATTATATGTGACAGATCACATTCGAACCATGTCACAGAGTCATTGCCCGCTCGAAGCCCTAATCTAAACCCAATAGAGCCTTTAATGGATCAGTCGGGACGTAGAGTTTGAGCAAGGAACTCTCGACCACAGAATCTTCATGATCTGATCCAGGCATTGCATGAGGAATGGCAACAGATTCCCAAGTTGAGGATACGGCGTCTGATGTTTAGCATGAGTGTTGATGGTTCCACTACACTAAATCAGAATCACGTACTCCCTGAGCGAGAAGCGTTTGTAAACATCTGAAGAGATAGAAACATGCTGCAGCTGTGACTGGCTGAAATAGTGTAAGATTTTTATGCTTTATAAAAGCACATAGATCCAGTCATTAAAACTGACCACAATTTTAAGTATTTAGTGCTGTCATTTTCATCACCATGACTTATGCTTAATGTGTCTACAGATATTTTCAAGTAGGTGACATTTGGTGCGGAACAGGGGTTGGTGTGTTCAGCTTCCTGTGCTCGGAAAATTGGCAGACTAAATTAGCCGGAATTTGTGTATTACTGTAGTGTAAAGACCAGACTGTACCAAGCGTGTATGGAATGGCTGTTGACAGCATTGATGATATATAACGTTACTATAGAAGTCTATGGGAAAACATTTGGTGTTGTGTAATCTGTAGTGATCCGTGGACGGGGAGTCTACTCCAAATGTTGACAAAAGCTGGTGATGCGTTCCCTATGACATGTGACAGCTACCGCAATCCACTTATCTTGTCCTCGTTTATTCTTAATTGCAGTTTCCGTAGTCACAGGCGATTACGGTTACTGTTTTATGAGAAAATGGACATGTTGCTCTTTGTTCTTCAAAAGAACAGTTTGTTTGATGTTCTGGTAACACTTTAAATTGCTCCCCCTCACCACCTGCCTCTCCTTAGCCATCTTTGTTCTGATGTGCATAAAAGATGGGTGATGCAATACATTTGACGAGGTGTACATAAATGTAATTTTCATTTATAATGCATTTACGTCAACAGTCTGGAATTTTATCAGAAGCAAGTTTGTCAAAACTGATGCTTAAATGAATGTTTAATTTGTACAGAAAGTAAATGAATGCTTCAGGACGTGTAAGTCCGTAATATACTACCCATCAAAAGTTTTGACTCACTTGAAGAACAAATAAACTTTGCTTTTTTTGTACTCTTTTAACTATAATATTACATATGAAAGATTTGTGGTTAGTCTTACGCGGAACACCAAATTCATTCTTAAAAAACTTGTGGTTAATTAATACCGAGCGATTAAAAGTTGCCAAAATGTCGCCTGCTTCACTCTCGCCCGCCAACGAAACCACAGACAGGTTACGAAACTCTGTTGCTAAGAGCACTGCAGTGACGTCATATGAGGAAGGATTTTCAGTTATTTGTATATAAAGTGTGTAGCAAGCTCGTCATTTTGTTGATTTCTTGACATCAACGAAGACATGCCGAATCGTTGCGTTGTCGTCAATTGCTCCTAGTGGTCGGGCGATGGTTTCATTATGCACAGATTTCCTCAGGACCCCGCAGTTCGTGCTAAATGGGTTATGTTTCTGAGTGCGAAGCGAGCGTTGTGGAAGCCTGGAACGATATCTTACTTGTGTTCAGATCGCTTCACGGAAGTTAAAGAATCAAAACTACTTACAAGTTGTAGGAAAATATGTATATGACTGATGACCAAAACGATTTTCCATGACACAACTTGTAACATAACGATTTCTTCCTCGGAAGCGAGGTTGTGGTCGAAGTGACAACAATATTGTAAAGTAGTATTATATTGACACACACCTCGCTTCCATGAGAGAAATTGTTATATTATAAGCTATGTCATGCAAAATCCTATTGGCCATCAATCAAATAAATATTTTACTACCAGTAGAAAGTAGTTTTGATTTTGTAACTCGCTGAAAACAAACCTAAATAGCATTTAGCCTCAGACTGGTGGATGTTCGCGACAGGGCGACGCCATTTTTGAAAATCGTGAAGTCACGGGCTAAAGTCTGCTAGAATTAATGAGATTATGGTTTGTTTTCATCAAGTTAGAAAATCAAAACCATTTTTTACTCGTAATTAAATATGTATTTGAATCATGACCAAAAGGATTTTGCACCACACAACTCGTAACATAACGATTTCTTCCACGGAAGCGAGGTGGGGTTAAAAGTGACAATACTGCGAGTTAAATTTCTTGCTACATTCACGTGGTTAACGTCCACTCACCAGTATGTAGATACTAGTCAATGTACGTCTTTATATTTGGTCTTATAATCCTAATTAGTTAATTATCATACTTGTATGCATTTTGAAACTTAATAAAAAGCAGGCGATCTGCTTATACTTATAGTGAATTTAAAACAGGACTGTAATATCTAGACACTTTATAGTTTGCCAATGTGAATCATAATTCGCACACATGTCCTAGTCTGTCTCATTACACTTCACGGCGAAAACAATGATTCTGTTGAATGCTACGACAAATGAATAAAAACAAAATGCAAATATTCAAATTAAAACAGATTAAAGTTATAGGAACAATGTCAGGCTATTACCTTGTTCGAGGAATGTTTCCATCAATATCCACAAAAGCGAGTGATATGCCATTCATCTGCAGCTGTTCCAAGTGATGTGTCTTTTAACAGTTTAATATACGAAAAAGTGATAAATCTTTTCAGATATTTCACATTGGTGTATAGTCTCATTGGTCACCCAAGATAGCACATCTGGCAACTAATATTGCATGATGTCCGCCATTCTTTAAAAAAAGTAATTGAGTTAACCAATAATGAGCAATCC